AAGGTCATTGAATTACTCAATGAACTCAAATTTGTATAATCATATTTGTATAATCATATAGCATAATCACACAACAGTTCTTGCTCCTGTCCCTTCTCAAGTGCTACCAATCTCTCTCCTCCCACGGTAGCCACTATCTAACTTTGATTATTGTACATTAGTTTTTTCCTCTTACTGACTTTTTTCCTTAGAAAATTGACTTTACTGAGATGTATTTTTCACACAATAAAATGTATTCATTTTATAAGTGCTGATAGTCGCTCAGTTGTGTCTGACTCTTTGCGATCCCATGGACTATAGTCTGCCAGGCTCCTCTGTCTGTGGAATTCTTCAGCAAGAATACTGGATTGGGTAGCCATTCCCTTCTCCAGAGGATCTTGGATCTTCTTGACCCAGGGATCAAGCCCGGATCTTTTGCTTTGTAGGCAGATTCTTTATCATGTGCGCCCTTGATGTATCTATTAACAATCATAGCAGTCAAGATAGAGACTGTTTCTACCTCTTCCCTTGCTGCTTTATAATAGCTCTCTCCCTGCTCCCTGCAATTTCTGGCCCCAAGCAATTGCTGATCTGCATTCTGTCACTACAGAGGCATAGAATTTTGCCTGTTTTAGAATTTCATATAAATGGAATCTCATAGAGTAGGTGCTCTTGTGTTTGGCTCTTTTTGCTTTGTATAATGTTTTTTGAGATTCATATTATTGCATGTGTCAGTTATTCAAGACTTTTATTTTAAAAAATTCTAAGTATATTTCATTGTAGGGATATTCCATACGTTGTTTATGCAATTACCTATAGGTTGTTTATTCAGTCAACCTATAATGGAGTTGATGACTATTTTTGGCTCTTTTGAATAAAGCTGCTATGCTTGTAGAAGTCTTTTTGTGGACTTAAACTTTAATTTCTTTTGAGTAAATACCCAAAAGTACAATTGCTGGGTCACATAGTAGGTTGTGCTTTTTAAAAAAATTAATTAATTTATTTTAATTGGAGGCTAATTACTTTACAATATTGTAGTGGTTTTTGCCAAACATTGACATGACTCAGCCAGCCATGGGCACAGATGTGTTCCCCATCTAAAAGCCCCCTCCCACCTCCCTCCCCATCCCATCCCCCAGGGTCATCCCAGTGCACCAGCCCTGAGCACCCTGTGTCATGCATCAAACCTGGACCGGCGATTCGCCTCACATGTGATAATATACACGTTTCAACGCTACCCTCTCAAATTATCCCACCCTTGCCTTCTCCCACAGAGTCCAAAAGACTGTTCTTTACATCTGTGTCTCTTCTGTTGTCTCGCATACAGGGTAGTCGTTACCATCTTTCTAAATTCCCTATATATGTGTTAGTATACTGTATTGGTGTTTTTTCTTTCTGACTTACTTCACTCTGTATAACAGGCTCCAGTTTCATCCACCTCATTAGAACTGATTCAAATGCATTCTTTTTAATGCCTGAGTAATATTCCATTGTGTTTATGTACCACAGCTTTCTTATCCATTCGCCTGCCGATGGACATCTGGGTTGCGTCCATGTCCTGGCTATTGTAAACAGTGCTGCGATGAACATTGGGGTGCACATGTCTCTTTTCAGTTCTGGTTTCCTTGGTGTGTATGCCTAGCAGTGGGATTGCTGGGTCGTATGGCAGTTCTATTTTCCACACTGTTCTCCATAGTGGCTGAACTAGTTTGCATTCTCCCCGACAGTGTAAGAGGGTTCGTTTTTCTCCACACTGTCTCCAGCATTTATTGTTTGTAGACTTTTTGATAGCAGCCATTCTGACTGGTGTGAGATGGTACCTCATTGTGGTTTTGATTTGCATTTCTCTGATAATGAGTGATGGTGAGCATCTTTTTATATGTTTGTTAGCCATCTGTATGTCTTCATTGGAGAAATGTGTCTTTAGTTCTTTGGCCCATTTTTTGATTGGGTTATTTATTTTTCTGGAATTGAGCTGCAGGAGCTGCTTGTATATTTTTGAAATTAGTTGTTTGTCCGTTGCTTCATTTGCTATTCTTCCATTCTGAAGGCTGTCTTTTCACCTTGCTTATAGTTTCCTTCGTTGTGCAAAAGTTTTTAAGTTTAATTAGGTCCCATTTGTTTATTTTTGCTTTTATTTCCATTACTCTGGGAGGTGGGTCATAGAGGATCCTGCTGTGATTTATGTCAGAGAGTGTTTTGCCTATGTTTTCCTCTAGGAGTTTTATAGTTTCTGGTCTTATGTTTAGATCTTTAATCCATTTTGAGTTTATTTTTGTGTATGGTGTTAGAAAGTGTTCTAGTTTCATTCTTTTGCAAGTGGTTGACCAGTTTTCCCAGCACCACTTGTTAAAGAGATTGTCTTTTCTCCATTGTGTATTCTTGCCTCCTTTGTCAAAGATAAGATGTCCATAGGTGCGTGAATTTATCTCTGGGCTTTCTATTTGTCCCATTGATCTATATTTCTGTCTTTGTGCCAGTACCATACTGTCTTGATGACTGTAGCTTTGTAGTATAGTCTGAAGACAGGCAGGTTGATTCCCAGTTCCATTCTTCTTTCTCAATATTGCTTTGGCTATTTGAGGTTTTTTGTATTTCTGTACAAATTGTGAAATTATTTGTTATAGTTCTGTGAAAAATACCATTGGTAGCTTGATAGGGATTGCATTGAATCTATAGATTGAGTGGTGTACTCATTTTCACTATATTTATTCTTCTGATCCATGAACATCGTATATTTCTCCATCTATTTGTGTCCTCTTTGATTTCTTTCATCAGTGTTTTATAGTTTTCTATATATAGGTCTTTTGTTTCTTTAGGTAGATATATCCCTAAGTATTTTATTCTTTTCATTGCAATGGTGAATGGAATTGTTTCCTTAATTTCTCTTTCTGTTTTCTCATTTTTAGTGTATAGGAATGCAAGGGATTTCTGTGTGTTAATTTTATATCCTGCAACTTTACTATATTCATTGATTAGCTCTAGTAATTTTTTGGTGGAGTCTTTAGGGTTTTCTATGTAGAGGATCATGTCATTTGCAAACAGTGAGAGTTTTACTTCTTTTCCAATCTAGATTCCTTTTTATTTCTTTTTCTGCTCTGATTGCTGTGACCAAAACATCCAAAACTATTTTAAATAGTAGTGGTGAGAGTAGGCACCCTTGTCTTGTTCCTGACTTTAAGGGAAATGCTTTCAATTTTTCACCATTGAGGATAATGTTTGCTATGGGTTTGTCATGTATAGCTTTTATTATGTTGAGGTATGTTCCTTCTGTTTCTGCTTTCTGGAGGGTTTTTATCATAAATGGATGTTGAATTTTGTCAAATGCTTTCTCTGCATCTATTGAGATAATCATATGGTTTTTATCTTTCAGTTTGTTAATGTGGTGTATTACATTGGTTGATTTGCAGATATTGAAGAATCCTTGCATCCCTGGGATAAAGCCCACTTGGTCATGATGTATGATCTTTTTAATATGTTGTTGGATTCTGTTTGCTAGAATTTTGTTAAGGATTTTTGCATCTATGTTCATCAGTGATATTGGCCTGTGGTTTTCTTTTTTTGTGGCATCTTTGTCTGGTTTTGGTATTAGGGTGATGGTGGCCTCATAGAATGAGTTTGGAAGTTTACCTTCCTCTGCAACTTTCTGGAAGAGTTTGAGCATAAGTGTTAGCGGTTCTTTAAATTTTTGGTAGAATTCAGCTGTGAAGCCGTCTGGTCCTGAGTTTTTGTTTGCTGGAAGATTTCTGATGACAGTTTTGATTTCCATGCTTGTGATGGGTCTGTTAAGATTTTCTGTTTCTTCCTGGTTCAGTTTTGGAAAGTTATACTTTTCTAAGAATTTGTCCATTTCTTCCAAGTTTTCCATTTTATTGGCATATAGTTGCTGATAGTAGTCTCTTATGATCCTTTGTATTTCTGAGTTGTCTATTGTGATTTCTCCATTTTCATTTCTAATTTTGTTGATTTGATTCTTCTCCCTTTTTTTCTTGATGAGTCTGGCTGATGGTTTGTATTTATCTTCTCAAAGAACCAGCTTTTAGTTTTGTTCATTTTTGCTATGGTCTCCTTTGTTTCTTTTTCATTTATTTCTGCCCTAATTTTTGTGATTTCTTTCCTTCTACTAACCCTTGGGTTCTTCATTTCTTCCTTTTGTAGTTGCTTTAGGTGTTGAGTTAGGTTATTATTTGACTTTTCTCTTGTTTCTTGAGGTAAACTTGTATTGCTATGAACCTTCCCCTTAGCACTGCTTTTACTGAGTCCCATAGGTTTTGGGTTGTTGTGTACATAATAGGTTTTATAAGAAAGCTGCCCAACTGGCTTCCAGGGTGGTTGGAACATTTTACATTCCCACCAGCATTATGTGAATGTTCTATTTGCTTTACATCCTTACCTACACTTTAATTTTCAGGATTTTAATGTTGTGGGTTTCAAGTTGTATGTTCGATAGCTGTGGTAAAAATGAGTTTATTATCTTATGTTTTTATAGGTATCAGTAGATGCTGTGGTGTAAAATTTGCTAAGAAAAATCTGTTACCAGCACAGTGAATGATATGGCCTGAATTTTTGTTTCTAATTTGCCTTTTCGTTTTGTAGCTTGAGAATATCCTCTGAGTAGTAGCATGTACTATTATGTTTGACACGGAGCACAGGGCCAGCATTGAGGCCTCCATAGTGTCCTAGGTGGATACTTTTGTTTGGCCCAGTAGTCAGTTTTTTTTTCCCTTCAGGCTTAAAATAGGTCAGTGTTCTTCCAGGTAAGCACCAGATGAAGTAGTTGTGCTTCTACCCCCACCCACCCCCCCACCCCCCAAACACATAAAGGAACTAACACACAAAACAGACAATAAGTATATTAAGTGTCTTCTGTGAAAAAGAGTTTCTTTGAAAAATTAGAAAAATAAAAACTTAGTGCATGCTCTCCTGGGTGTATCAAGGTAGTGTAAATGTGGAGTTTTCACCACATTTTGTAGTCATTTAGTATTGAAAATTTTACATCTAATTTTTTTCTTTGATTACAGTGCCCATACATCACCCATCAGCATCTTACCAGCCTCTGCAGAGTAAGTAGTATACTTATAGAAGACAGCTTAAAAAGCTTTTAAAAATATTAATAAGCTGTAGAAATTAAAAGCATATATTTATTGTAAATACTTACTTTAGAGGAGAGACTGTACATAAGGTAGTGAAACTGGTTAGTATTTTATATACTTTAGTCAGAACAAATGAAGAAGGAAGGCATTGCTCTGATATACTTTTTTTCAGATGATTTTTTTTTAATCTTCTGAAATGACTGAACATCAATAGAGCTTTCTTTTAGTAAAGGTCCCCTGCCCCACCCCTTTCCCCCCAAATGACTGCTTTATTTATGTTGACTATGGTGCATGGCATGTGGAATCTTAGTTCTCCAACCAGGGATTGAACCTGTGCTTCCTGCAGTGGAAATGCAGAGTCGTAATCACTGGACCACTGGGGAATTCCCTGAGAAGTCTTTTTAGATGGCTTTATATGTTGTAGTGAGGAATGGATTACTGGGACAAGTGATCATTCCTGCGTCAGTATTAATATTGACATGATTGATTTATGTAATGTCTGGGCAAATTTCATTTTAAAGTTTAAGCAATTATCATGTATTCCTTTTCTGTATTTGTTTTTCCACTGTAGCCTGTTCATTTAAATACCATTGTATATTTTTTTTACCTGGTTGTATATTTTAAAGTTTGTGTTTATGTGACCAAATAATCTAGTTTGGGTGACTGCTTCTCACTAAAATGTGTTCTGTTTTATAGCATTTTAGAAAGAACAATTAGAGCAGCTGTGGAACAGCACCTTTTTGATCTGCAGAGCAGCATAGATCATGATCTTAAGAACTTACAGCAGCAAAGTCTGGTGTGTAATAATGAAGCAGGAAGTGTTAATTGTGATGGGGAAGGATCTAATAACCAGTAAGAAACTTTTAAAACATTTGACTATTTTTTGTTGAATTATAAAATTGTTTCACCTCTTAAAAAACAGTTTTTTCTTTAATGATAGTGTCTCATCTTACTTGAGCATTTCTGAAAGTGTGAAAAATGACTTTGTATATACTTGCTTATAAATTGTATATACTTCACATTAAAAATCTCATAAGTCTTCTGTTAAGATAGTAGACATTGAGTCCAACAAAGCCTGTGAACACCAGATGAAGTAGCGGGCATAATTACCTTTAGGATCTATGTTATGTGAAAAATAACTTTAAAAAGAGTAGACCTATATTCTGTTTTCCAGATGGTCACACCATGGCATATAGTTTTCTAGATAGATAGGTACTGGGTCAGCAGATTGACATCACTCGTAGTGCACATGGTCATTGAATGAATTGGTGAATGGAGTCATCCTTTGCTATTTAACTTGTTATCCTGTCTCCAGGCTTTGCCTTCCCTACACACTGTTGTTTTAGGTTAACTGTTAATAATTGGATTTGTGCAAGTTAAAAGTACCCCATGTAGTGTGGTGTGTGATGTTACTCCATTCTTCATCTGACCTGTTATCTTTAAGTGATGAAAGCTTCATCTCCTTTCCTGTTACCTCAGCCCTAGAGGTGCTTTCTTCTGAGTCCACAGATGATTTTTATAGTTTGCATTGGTCAGTTTTTGTTTTGGGGACAGATCTATAGAGCAGCATAGATCATGATCTTAAGAAAGACGTACCCAAATTTGGAGAATTCATAGGAAGGCAAAAAAAAAAAATAGGTAACTAGGTAGAATTTTGTTTTTGTGTTAAGAATTAGATTTTTAAAAGGCCAAATATGTCAAAACGCCAGACTAGCTATCACATATGAAATGAAACTGAGAAATTAATGGATAGAAATACCAATGCTGGGACTATGTTTATGGAATACCAGATTGTACAACCACAGGTGTGCCATATAATCTGCATGGATGGCATCACCACCAGCCTGTGCAGCGATATGATGGCCCTGATTTGTGTGCTTTGAAGGCATTATTTGAACTATACAAGTGGATCTGTAGGAAATATTTGAGTTGAATATGAAGGAAAGAAGCAGTATCTAAATGGTAGAAATAGTAGAAAAATGTTTCGAAGGATATAATATAAGCAGATTTCTTGGAGTTTGCCCTTTTGGCTTAGCTAGAGATCCTGAAAACCTATGTCTATGCTCAGATATTATAGAAATACTCATACTCTTATGGTAGAATTCTCATATTGTCTGGTTGGGGTATCATCTTTATAAACAACCTGCAGTGTTTTACATATTCTAAATTATATAAGATGAAAAAATCTGCAGTAGGATGCTATTCCTGTTGTAGTTGAAAAGGTGTTGAACTCTATGTTGCCTAGTGCTAGACTTGGGTTTTAATCTGCAAACAGGTCGTTATTATGATTTAGAGTGTGTGTTTGTAAGGGAGATCACTGTTTTGGTACATAAATTATTTTTAAAGCCATTCATTTGCTTGTGAAAATATTCAAATTGGATAATAAATAAGATAGTTCCTCACAACATCCCATGGAGGGACAGAAATAAACTTTGAACCCTCTATAATCTCACTTGACATGCTAAATAAACTGAATCTTTATGAAAAAGGTACACTTTCTACCACAAGGAGAAGTTTCAGATTGTTACTTTTATTTATTTATTTAAAAGGCATTACATATTCAACATGTGGCCTGATCTGACTTTTTAATCTTCATTACTAGGGTTGATATTGCTGATGGTATTATTAATGCCAGTGAACATAACAGAGACTGTTCAGAACCTGTGGCTAGCACTAATTTAGACAATGAAGTTATGCAGCAAGATTTTGTATTTGAGGATGAAGAAAATAACCAGGTAAGAAATGTAGGGTCTTAAAAATGTCTGTGTTAAGTATACTAGATCAACAGTCCCCCACCTTTTTGGCACTAGGGACTGGTTTCATGGAAGAGAGTTTTTCCATGGATTTGGTGGTTCAGGTGGTGATGAGAGCAGTGGCAGATGAAGCATTGCTTGCTTGTCTGCCTGCCGCTCACCTCTGCTGTGAGGTGATCCTCACAGGCCAGGATCCTAAACAGACCGAGGCCCAGGGGGTGGAGACCCATGTATGTACTAGATTACAGTTCTCATTGCTTCATGTGTTCCTTTGATACCAGAAAACATAGTTCACTGTCTTTGCTGATACATGTGTTCGCCTTGATTCCAAGTCCCAAGAACATACATTCTTTTTTTTTTTTTTTTTTTAAATTTATTTATTTATTTATTTATTTATTTATTTTTTATCACAACCATAGTGTATCTTTTCCTTTCCTTTTTCTACATGTATTCCCCATCCCGGTCCCCCCCCCCCCCCACCTCCCCCTCCACCCAATCCCTCTGGGTCTTCCCAGTGCACCAGGCCCGAGCACTTGTCTCATGCACCCAACCTGGGCTGGTGAACTGTTTCACCCTAGATAATATACGTGTTTCAATGCTAGAACATACATTCTTTTAGTGGGGATCAGGAACCATCATTGAATAGAGAAGTAGAGACAGAATACCTTATTTTAAAATACTTTTCTGGAAGGAAACAAATTACAGTGTCACCTGAGGTGACTGGTGGTTTTATGGTTGAATTTTGTTCTTTTAAAGCCGTGTATGTCCCAGATATTTTCTGAAGAACATGGAATCGTTACATAATTATGGAAAACCCATGAACATCATTTAAGAAGTAAATTATTTTCACTGTCAACAATTTTTAGTAATAACATTTTAAAAATAATGGAGTAAATTGAGTAAATTTACTCAATTTCAGTGAGTGTACAAAGCATTTTTCTAAGACATGTTTCAAAATTTTGTTAACACTTTTTAAAATAAGATACTTAATGGATGAGGAAATTTTCTTCAGCATGTTTTCATTCTAAATCATATGCTAACACACATATAGTAAGGAATCAAAGATTTGTGTTTAGGCTTTGCCTGTTAATAGCAGTATAACTTTGACAAAGTTACCTAGCTTTTCTGAGTTGTTTTTTGTTTTTCTTTATATAAGTGGGAGGTAATACCCATTCTAGAGGATTCTTATAAATATCCAAAGAAGTAAAAGTATAAACCTATTTTATGAACTGGAAAACATTTCACAGAATTTAAGCTACTCCTGGACTTAGTTTTTATTGGACTCTATGTCCAATAAAACTATGTAACTAGTATGTATGTAACTAGTATTCTTACTTTCTTTCACTGGCATATTAGATTAATCTCTTTTCATCTGTTCATGGTTATTGATTCTGTTCTTGTCTGTTTGCTCCACTGATAACACTGTCTTCACTTGGCTTTCAGGATATCTTCCTCCTCTTGTTTTTTTTCCTCCTTGACTGCTTGTTGTATCCCTTTGCTGATTGCTTTTTGTGTTCTGAAATTTAGTATAGCCCAGGGCCCAGTTTTCTCAAGTCACTAATTTTCATTTACTCCATTGGTAATTTCACTTAGTCTAATGGTTTTAAATACCATCTCTCAGCTAAACGCTCCCAAGTTTATACCCTAGTCCAGATCTCTCGCAACTTTAGATTCCTATACCTAGAAGTTCTGCTCAACGTTGAATATCTTTGTTGTTGTTCAGTTGCTAAGTTGTGTCCAACTCTTTGCAACCCAATGGACTGTAGCACACCAGGCTTCCCTGTCCTTCACTGTCTGTCTGAGTTTGCTCAAACTCACGTCCATTGAGTCAGTGATGCCATTCAGTCATCTCATCCTCTGTCGCCCCCTTCTCCTCTTGCCCTCAATCTTTTCCTAGCATCAGGGTCTTTTCCAGTGAGTCGGCTCTTCATATCAGGTGGCTGAAGTATTGGAGCTTTACCTTCAGCATCAGTCCTTCCAGTGAATATTCAGGGTTGATTTCCTTTGGGATTGACTGGTTTGATCTCCTTGCAGTCCACAGGACTCAAGAGTCTTTTCCAACACCACAATTCGAAAGCGTCAGTTCTTCAGCACTCAGCCTTCTTTATCATCCACCTCTTACATATGTATATGACTGCTGGAAAAACCATAGCTTTGACTATATGGACCTTTACTGACAAAGTGATATCTCTGCTTTTTAATACGCTGTCTAGGTTTGTCATATCTTTCCTTCCAATGAGCAAGCGTCTTTTAATTTTGTGGCTGCAGTCACCATCTGCAGTGATTTTGAAACTGAAGAAAATGAAAACTGTCACCATTTCTACTTTTCCCCCATCTGTTTGCCATGAAGCAATGGGACCGAATGCCATGAACTTTGCTTTTTCAATGTTGAGTTTTAAGCCAGCTTTTTCACTCTCCTCTCACCTTCATCAAGACACTATTTAGTCCTCTTCACATTCTGCCACTAAAGTGGTATCTCTGTATCTGAGGTTGTTGATATTTCTCCTGGCAATCTTGAATATCTTAATATCTTAATTAAACATCTTAATATCATAAAACATCTTTTTTTTTTTAAAGACTCATTTATTTGTTTATTTTTGGCTGTATGGGTCTTTGTTGCTGTGTGGGCTTTTCTCTAGTTTTGGCCAGTGAGGATTACTCTCCAGTTGTGGTGTGTAGGCTTCTCATTGCGGTGGCTTCTCTTGCTGCAGAGCATGGATTCTAGGGCGTGCAGGCTCCAGTAGTTTCCATGTGTGGGCTCAGTAATTGTGGTTCTCAGGCTCTAGAGCCTGGGCTCATGGGCTCAGTTACCCTGAAGCATGTGGCCTCTTCCTGGAGCAGGGATTGAATCTGGACCACCAGGGACCACTGGACCACCAGGAAAGCCCTGATAAACATCTTATAAACATTTTATAAGCATCTTAACATGCCTAACAAGCTGCATGGCAAGGTTTAAAAAAAAAAATTCCACACCTTTATTATAAGCTAAATGCTTGCATAAATTTGATTATAAACTAAATGTTTGCATAAATTTGGCTGTTTCTCTTTCCTTCATCACCCATGAATGAGAGTTTCTCTTGCTCCACATCCTTGCCAGTGTTTGGGATTTTGGCCATGCTAATAGGTGTCCAGTGTTATCTCGTTGATAGTTTACAGTTCCCTCATGACATAGTGTTCAGCATCTTTTCATATGCTTTTTTGCCATCTGAATATCTTTGCTGAATTTAGGTCTCTTGTTCAGTTTTTGATGTAGTTGTTTTCTGAGTTTTAAAAGTTCTTTATTTGAGTAAGTCTCTTATCAGATATAAAATATCAGGTCTTTTGCAAATTAGTATTTTTTTTTAATGTACTAATCTGTAGAAAATCTTAAGGATTTTTGTATTGATATGACGAGATTGATCTTTCAAGTTATAACAAGTTGTATAGTAATTTGTACTGTTGAGAGTGGAAACCATCGGTAAAGCAGTAGCCTGATTTGAGTTCACATCAAAATATCTGATGTTATTAGTAAATTTCTCATAATGTGCTGTGCCAAGATGCCTCAGTCATGTCCAACTCTTTTCGACCTTGTGAACTGTAGCCTACCAGGCTCCTCTGTCCATGGGATTTTCCAGGCAAGAATACTGGAGTGGGTCTCTGTGCAGAGGATGTTCCTGACCCAGGGATTGAACGTCTCCTGTGGCTCCCACAATATAGGCATTCTTAACTGGTGATCCACTGGGGAAACCCAGATGTCTCAAAATCAATTCATTTCCGGATTAGCAGACCTTCATGGCTGGCACCCTGCCAAATTTGCGATTATTTATATCTTCTGAACCCTGAGAAATTGCTGGAATTTAAGTACCTTCTTTCAGAAGTGAAGGCCAGAAGTATTTGGGACGCTCTAGCAGACAACCAAGAGGAAGAAATAGCTATCAATTGGACTTGAATTGTTATGAGATTTCACTTTCTTTTTTTAAACAGAAATACTCAATACCTCTGACAGGCAACAACCATTCAATAATGTGTTTTTTTTAAATCAGTCTATCTTTTTAAAACAGTCTCTCTTTTAAAATTAAAAAAATTGAGGTATAGTTGACATATTTCATTAGTTTCAAGTGCATAACATTCAGTACATGTATATATTGTGATATGATCACAAGTCTAGTTATTAATATCTGTTACCACAGTTAAAATTTTTTTCTTGTGATGAGTCTTTTAAGATCTCTCAGCAGCTTTCAGATATATATATAGTATTATTAACTATAGTTACAGTGATGTATATTATAGTTCTGTATCTTATTTATTTTATAACTGAAAAGTTTATACCTTTTGACTACCTTCACCCATTTTCCCCACTACCAACCCTCACCTCTGGCAACCACCACATATGTTTTCTATATAGATGTTTGACTTTATCTTAAAATTCCACATAAAACTGAAATCATATGGTATTTGTCTTTGTCTAACTTATTTCACTTAGTCACAATGCCTTCAAGGTCCGTCCATGTTATTGGAAGTGGCAGGATGCCGTTTTTTTTTAAATGGCTGAATAATATTCCATTGTGTGTGTATATATGCATGTGTGTGTGTTATATATGTATACACACCCACACAGAAAATTATTCAGCTATTTATCTATTGAGGGATGCTTAGGTTGTTTCTGTATCTTGATTATTGTAAATAATACTGCAATAAACATGGGGGTGTTTATTGGCGCATAAACATGCACCTATCTTTTTGAGGCAGCATTTTTTTTTTCCTTCACATAAATATCCAGAAATGGAACTGCTAGTAAACATATGGTAGTTCTATTTTTAATTCTTTGAGGAGCCTCCATACCATTTTCCTTAGTGGCTGTCAATTTACATTTCCATCTGCAAAACACGAGCGTTCCTTTTTATCCACATCCTCACCAGCACTTACTTTGTGTTGTCTTTTTGATGATAGCCATTTTAATGGGTGTGAGGTAGTACCTCACTTTGGGTTTGATTTGCATTTTCTTGATGGTTAGTGATGTTGAGCACCTTTTCATGTACTTGTTGGCCATCTGTACTTCGTTTTTGAGAAAATGTCTATTTAGATGTTCTGCCCATTTTTTAATTGTATTATTTGTTTTTTGCTATTGAGTTTTATGAGTTCTTTATATATTTTGGAGATTAACTCCGTATCCAGATACATGATTTTGCAAGTATTTTCTCCCATTCTGTAGGTTATTTTTTCATTTTGTTGATGGTTCATCTGCCGTGGAGACCTCATCACTTTTGACCACATTAATTCAGTGAAAGAAATTGGGCTAGAATGAAGAATATTTAATATATTTTTATATAACCTTTAAAAATTGTGGATCATTATGATGTATATAATATTGTATATAAACTATACCTCAATTAAAACTTTTTTTTTTAAGTCTCCATAACCTAACTGATGGGGCTTTCCAGGTGGTGCAGTGGTAAAGAATCTGCCTGTCAGTGCAGGAGACACAAGAGACACAGGTTTGATCTCTTGAGTTGGGAAGGTCCCCTGGAGTAGGAAATGGCAACCCACTCCATCCTCTTGCCTGGGAAATTCTATGAGCAGAAGAGCCTGGAGGGTTACAGTCCATGGGGTTGCAAAAAATTGGACATGATTGAGTGCATACCTTTCACATTTAATCTAACTGACAGAAAAATATAATGAGTTGGCAGCTCATTTAAATGGAAAGTTGTTAATCAAAAAATTTTTTCTCTGCGTAACACACAGCAGAATTTTGCTCCAATGTGTTTTTATATCTGTTCAATTATAAAATCAAGTTGGAGACTACAGTTTCAAGTTTTTCTGGATAATCTAAATCTTTAGATTCTAAGGTTCTGTAGCTTTATTTCTGCCATCTGGTGGTTGAAAATGCTTTAGTAAGTTTTCTTATAAGCAGATGAAATGTATAAAATAAAGTGGGGATAGTTAGCTTATCTAAAAGAAGTAGCTGCCATACTTGAGCAAAACTAGGTCAGTGGAGATGGAAAGATGAGCGGCTAAGCTGTGTGGAAGTATCAATGGTGGATGGCTAAGAAATGGATGGAGACCGAGGAAATTACTGGTCTTTTATTAGCTCCTGTCAGTAAGCCCTGACAGCCCCCTAATACCTTGGCAATATGATTGTGCTGTAGCTGCTGCTTCCACTGTTGCCGCCATTGCCACCACCTTTTTTCACCAAAGGGCTCTAGCTTTCCTGAATTGAGACCAGCGTGCCTTACATTCCTTTATGAGGACTCTGATGTTTGTGGAGAAGGGAGGGAAGACAGCACAGGCTGTTTTGTCATCTGATATTTTTAGAAAAAGAGCTTTTCTCTTCTTGTGTATAAAGGATTGAATATTTTATCTGGAATAAGTTCTGAGAAAGTAAAATTTTTCTAAGTGATGAAGTATATTTTACTTTCTAAGGAAAGTATTGCACATTCCCTGTATGTTAAATGAAGTCTGACTGTATTCTAACATGACTTTAATAGCTTATTTTTCTTTGTCCTGGGATATTGTACAGAGCACAGTTCTGCACTTGACTCTGAATTTCATCTCTCTTCTCCACTGCTGGACTGTCAGCTTTTGCTGCTATAACTTCATTTTTTTTTTTTTTTTTGCATTTTTAAAAATATTATCCCTAATTGAGATCTTGTTTAATACTTTTCACTATTTAAGAATTATGTTGCCTAAATCTGGGTGGAGGATATGTGGATATTAGTTATATCAGTGGTCATATTTTATTTCAGTTATTTCATAGTAAAAGGAATTATAGGTTAAATTAGGTTGGTCATGTAATAGTTTGCTTTATAATAGAGCTTTATAGATTTCTTATAAGCTCTTTCTTTTGATTGTCTGACAACAACCATAAGATAGGCACATAAGTAATTGTTACTGTCTTATTTTTCATCAGAAGGAAAGAACTGGGACTTGAATTTGGTGGAGTAAAGCAAAAAGGCTCATTTTAAATATTGAGCCTGTGTAATGGTTTTTCATGGTTCCTGAAACCTTCATATTTAAGACTGTAAAGCTATATTCCAGAGCATGAAGGTTGTTGAAGTCTGATTTTTAGATCAGTGGTTCTATACACTTTGGGTCCCAAGGACCTCTTTATACTCTAGAATATTGAGGGTCCCAAAAAACTTTTATTTAGGTAGGTATGTCTATCAGTATTTAGTATATTAGAAATTAAAACTGAGCAATTAAAATGCTTATTAATTCACTTAACATAATAAACTCACCCAAGGTAACATAAATAAGACTGCTTTTTCTTAATAAAAAGCAGCTATTTTTTTATTTTTTATTTTTAAAAGAAGATATTTTGAGGCATGGCATTGTTATATATACTTACAGATCTTGCTACTCTCTTACTTAGAAGTCAGCTGGATTCTCATATGTGCTGCTGCATTCTCTCTGTTGCTATAGATTCTTTTGTTTCAAGTGCATGAGGCTAGTTAGCTTCACAGAGATACATAGTTCAAAAAGAGAGTATTTTAATAACTTTTTACAGATTGTCTTTCACATTAAACAAAACTGCACAAGTAGTAGTTTCTTAATAATCTAGGAAGATCAAATCTTGTTGATTTCTGAGGTGATCATCAAAAACACTAAAAGGTTTACATAGTTTGAAGTAATGCACAGTACAGTTGTATTAGACTTGATAGCTATTTATTTTAGGGAGGAGTAGGCATGGAATGGTATCTCTAAGCCCATTGGAAAATTAGGGAGCATTCTCATGTGCTTTTGAGTTTCAGAGTTTTTTCAAATATATGTCATAAAGGGATCTGATGAACTATGTGACTCCTCTGTTACCTGCTAGGAAGTTAACCAACTTGTATGTTCATTGCTGACAAGAAAGAGAAGCAGCAGACCATCATTTTTAGAGGAGAAAATTCTAAGGAAGGAAAAAGAATGTGATAGTAGTAGCAATAGCTATTGCCCAGTAGGGTAGCAAGAAATACCGGGTCTTCATTTTATACACACGCACCCCCATACACACAACTCAAGTTTTGAGGAAGATAAATTACTCTCTCACAAAAGATGTTAACACCTACAGACTATTATAAGTAGTAGTTAAAAGAGGGGCATTTGACTAACTTGTAATCTAATATCCTAATTTAGATTGGAAACTTCTCAACTTTAAGGGGATGGGAACTCCATTAATAAGTGGTGGTCTTTTTGTCAGTGTGTAGGTATATTGTTAGAGCCATGCAGTGACCATGGTGATGGTGAAGATGACTGTCTTGAGAGGTAAGCATTTTTTCTTGTTGCTGCTAATTAACTGTTCATTTTGAAAATTGGAGTTCTTTACAGATTCTGGGGTGAATTTTTTAGATGAAGCTTTCTGTTACAGCATATATTTTAGGTGAGCAAACAAAACCAAACGTCTTATTTTGATGATAAGTATAAAGCATATTGGAGCTTCCCAGATGGCTTGATGGTAAAGAATCCACCTGCCAATGCAGGATACTCGGTTTGGACCCGTGGGTTAGGAAGATCCCCTGGAGAAGGAAATGGCAACCCACTCCAGTATTCTTGCCTGGGAAATCCGGTGGACAGAGGAGCCTGGTGGGCTACAGTCCATGGGGTCACAAAGAGTCAGATATGACTGAGCTGCTGAGTTGCAGCAGCAGCATAATGCATATTAAGTGTCCATAAATATTCAGAGTAGATGCAGATTAAGACAGGTTATAAATTGGAAAACATTCAGAAATTAGAACACTGCCTTTTTGGAAACACTTCAAACTTTTCATTTGATTTGTAGAACAGTTTGGAGGTTAATGATACTCTGAATACATGCTTCAGTGAGTTAATTCATAAATCTTGGAACTGTGGCCAACTAACTGAAAGATTGTAACATATTTGCCTCAACAAACATGTAGGAATGTTTTTGCTCCTGTTCCCCTCCTTCTGTGTGTCCCAGTACAGTCCTACGTAGTTAGTGCTTGTTTGTGTCCTTGACTAGCCGTAATGGAAGGGGGCATTCCCCAGCCATAAGTCTTTTAACTATATGTAGTCCCCATAGATACTTGATAGAGTCCCTTTGAACAGAAGCTTTTTAGAATGTTTTAAAGTAAGTTTTGGATGTCGTTACTCTTTTTATGATTTGTTAAGACATTGCTAAAAAATGTGGATAGTTTTCTTAAGAATGACGGTTTGATCTTCTGAAAACACATCAGTAATGAAGTTGCAGACTAGGCTGTAAATACTGAGAAATCCCATACAACGTTACTGATTTGGTGGTAGCCTGTTGGCAAGGGTAAACTTGCATCAATGTTGTTGTCTCTCTTAATTGTGAGTAGAAAACGTGTTCTCTGAGGGCAAGTAAATTCTTTGGAACCATGTCTCTGGAGCATCCCCCTACACTGAAGGTCCACAGATTTCCTGCTTACAGCAGCTCCTTGTGCTTCCTTTCAGGAGGCAGGAATGATCCTCTTCCAGCCCAGGAAATATTGGAGCTATGGGCTGAAGATAAAAGATTAACAGCATTAACAGGCATCCCCAAAATGATGACATCTGGATTTGATAGAACAATAAGGATCCATCTAGTGAGGACTCAAGCTTTTTCGAGAAAGCTCTTTCCTCTTCAACTTACGTATAGATTAGCAAACTGGTTTTTAGACCAAAACATTTTCTTGGTTAGGTAGATTACATTTTGCTTGTTTAACCCTCATGTTTCTAAAATTTAGATGATTAGGTCTTTCAATCTGTTAGGCTAGAATTTAACTCATTCCCCAGTTTGTTCCCACTCTTAAGAAGAACAGGGCCTTTGCTTGCCGGGGAGTTTAGTTTGTTTTCCATGTTCAGCAGACAAGGTAATTATGTATATATGAGGAGCTGACTTGCCACATTTAGCTCAAGACCTGTCTTCTGAGTGCACAGTTTTATGGCAGGGGAGGAGCAGCACCTATGAGTATCACTGTAGATTGCATTGCCACAGTGTCTTTGGGGAGGAGAACATTCCTGCAGTCAGCATATTGATAACTTACTGTGATACTAGATATTCTGTTGAGGTCAAGTAGGTAGCGATGATTTGTGACAGCTTTATCACTTGTTCTAGATAGGGATTAGTTTTTATAGGGAAATAAATGAATTGAAATTTTATAAAATTTCCTTTTAATATGTTACCATTATGTTTTGAAGAAGGAGAATTTAGTTTTCAATTAGCAATAATCGCGCCTCGGATAAACCTCATTAGCTACAATACTGCCACTGCACAAACCTGAAGGAGAGGTTTAGAAATAGTAACTTTGTTTTGATTGTAATAGAATACCATCAGATTTAAAATTTAGGACATAGCTATACCTTTAAAAAAAATCTTTAAATGAAAAAAGATGTCCCAGAGTATGGAAGAATGAAGTCAATTGGTTAAAACTATTACTTATTTTATAAGATCTTTTCCATTATATATTCATTTCTTTTGTTTTTTATTTATTGTGGATTATATTTTTCCTTTTAAAGTGCTTTTCATTTTGGGGAGTGAATGTGTAAGGGAGTGGTGAAGGTACTTTATTTTTCTGAACATGAACTGATTCTCTGGATATTTTCAGTAGTGTGTGTTTTTCAGATATAGGGCTCCAAAGAATGGGCATATGTGCAGGTGTTATTTGCTTTTCTCACACTGTAAATGCTATCTGTATGAGGAAGAGAGGAATCTAGATAAGAAGTATGCAGTGATAGTAACCAATTTATTCTTAAAAGACTAATAACTTTACTTGATTTTTAGGAAAGAATATTTGTCATTTGACAGTGATAAATTGTCACACTTGATTCTGGTAAGAATTACTTTTCTTTATGGTTCTTTAAAATTTGACTAGGTTTAATCTACCAGTTATTGTATCTGGCTTTTGACTCTTGGGTTTAATAGTTTTAAAGGAGATTGAAATGCAAATACTCTTACCAGTTGTTTTACAATCAAGCAGCAACTTGATTTGCCACTTTTGGTTTTTGGTTTGTTTTTGCTTTTGTTTTCTAATTTGCCACTTTTGATTGCAAGAAACTTGTTTATGAAAACAATTTCCTCAGTTTGGGATCCAAACTTTGTCTTGAATGGTGGGAATGGGACAGTTGCCTATGTAGGCACGGTAAGCTAATGAGGACCACAGAAGAACATAAGCTGGTTGTTTTTAAATAGGGCGTGGAAAGTTTCTTGTTTGTGAAATGTATTCTTTATTTTAAAATACAGGATTCTAGTAGCAAGATATGTGATTTGAATGCCAACACTGAATCAGAAGTGCCAGGAAGTCAAAGTGTTGGTGTTCAAGGGGAAGCAGCATGTGTCCAAATTCCACATTTAGATCTGAAGAATGTTTCTGATGGTGATAAATGGGAAGGTAATTTTACCCACACACATTATTTTTCTGATAATGTTATTTGTAACTGAAATTACCCAAGGCAGTAATGAGATTACTGCCCTTTTCTGAGCAACCTTATTCGTTTTTATTTGATTCATATAAGAGTGAGTCATGTAATTTTACTCAAATGCGCTAATGAAATTATGGGACAGCTATCTCATTTGAATTAATTCTTATCTGGTCCATTAGCTCTGAGGATGGATGTTAACACATAAAGAAAATAAAATCAAGGGTAGGCTTTTGTTAATTGTTAAACCAGGTGCTATCTCCCAGTTTTTGGAAGTCCAGTATGTTAGTGTTTAGGGATCTCACTACTTTAAATAGAGAGCCCATAATACAGCTACCTTTTCTTTATAATTAAAAGAAATACATTTAAAAAGAAATTATCTTCAGAGGTATTTGTAAGCAAATATTGTACTCTGTCCCTTTATCTCTTGTTAGGTTTTGAAGATATGGGAGCAGGGTCCTAACAAGTTTTACAAAGGAGAGAAATTTCAATTTTAACTTAAAGAGGCAAAACCACATAGGTTAGAACTCAGCAGATGTGTATTTAAGACCTTCATTTCATTGTATGCAAGTTTTTTTTTTTTAATCAAAAGGAACAAAAGCTATAAATAAATACCAAACTTCAGTGAATGATCAGCATGCAGCAGGGTTTATGGAGGAGTATATGAATATCTACTGTTCACTTTGAAATCCATGAAGAAAACAAGATTTTCTTCAATGGAATGGAAATGTTACGAAGCACGTATAGTAAAATATTAGTAGTAGAATCTAGGAGATTGAAATATGGATGTCCTTTGTAAAATTCTCTAAAAACTTCGCTGTGTATTTGTAAACTTTCAAATAAAATGTTGCAGTTGAGGAGTAGAAATAAGACGCATATTTGGGTCCAGGGGGGTCCTCTGGATCATACCCTTTCCTTATGTAAAGAGATAAGGAGACCACTCAGAAATCTTAAAGTTACGTATTTGTTCACTTGAATGAAGATCCCTTCATAATCTCACCTTTGGCAAGTTAGCCAATGGCATACAGTGGCAATAGCGAGGAATTGCAATACCAATATCATGTACTCCTTTTGCCACCTCAAGTCTACACACCTGATCACAGTTGGAGCATTTTTATTTATTTTTAAGGTATAAACAATATTTTAAAAGCCCCAACCAAGTCATTCTGCTAGTCTTTACTGTTGTCTTTAAACCCCCACTCCTCCCTTTTTGGTCTAAATGTTTGGCATGCCCAGTGGTGTATTATGTGTCATAACTTAGACTAAATCAGGAAGTTATCTTCCATTTACTTTGTTCTGGGTTATTCAGGATGTTTGGGATTTATGAAGATGCTCCCCAGGGTTAGGGATATACTAGCATTCTGGTGGCAATGAAAATCAAATGTCCCTTTAAGTTACTCATCCTGGCGTAGTTACTGAGAAGGAGTGGCGGTCATCAGAGCATCCTTTGAGCTGTAAGTTAGGGAAGGAGTCTCTGAAAGATGAAGCTGGGCTTCTGACAGCATTTAATGCTGCTGCTTTTTGGAGGATGTAGATAAATAGCCCTTTATAGTCCTTGGTATGAGGGTCCTGATCTTGTTTTAAGCATAGAAGACCATTTGTTTTCCATTGTCTGAGGAGATAGGACATTTTCTGTCCAGCTTCAGCTTTCTGAGGGCTTCCCTAAACAGAGCCTGATGCTAGGCTCTCTTTTGTTGCCTTGTTGGAATCCACCATTTACAGATTGTGGTGGTAGGGAAGGGAAGGTCACTATGTACTCCTGATCCCTGATTTTCAGTGTCTGAGCTGTCCTGGCTCATCAGCTGTGACAAGTCCACATAGACCTCCTGCTGGCTTTTCCAGGAATACGGATCAGTGACTTTCAGAGAGCCAACAGCAGTCGACACCTGAGTGAACTTCTCAGCCATGAACTCTGCATGTGCTTGGGAGAGTGGCTGTTAGCAGACCATGTTGTTCTTTCCACTTGTGCCCACAATACAGAGACTGATTTTCCATAACTGGGAGTTTAGGATATTCTAAAATAATAGTCTTCCTCAAGAAACCAAATTACTTTAGATCTGCATACCTTGGAATAAGAGATGTACCCCATTTGAAGTGACTTAACAGAGAAGTAGGGTGTCTTCAAATGGAGAACCATCTCATTCTTCCTAAGTATGTGGGTTTAGGTTTTTTGTATTGTTCCAAGGGTAGTCAGCAAAATGCAGTTAGCGAGTGGGTAGCACATGTCTGCCACCAGTATGCATTTGTAGCCATCCAAAGGTCTTGGTTTTTAATGGAAGTGAACATCTTTACTTCAGATTCTTTCCTGCTGACTCTTGTATGAGATAACAGTAGAATCTTTTTACAGAGCAAACTAAGGGAGATATTTTTCTGTCAAATTGTATATACTGAAAAGCTTTCACAGTACCTGATTAAGTTTCCATTTCTTCAGTTTTATGTTTGAGTTTTAATAGAACAACCCTACTTTAATTTTTTTGCCTTGCTTGCTGAAATGGAAATGTATGTTTGTGTTTGTTTTTAAAGTTTGGTTAGTAGTAATTTCTTTGAATAAAGTTTTTTTGCAGAATGCCTAACTGGTTTTAGGGAAATGTTTTTGGTATCTTTGGCTTTGTGTTAGTTATGTGTATGGTTTGTTCTGACTGTGCTGTGTGTTCACTTTAGTATTTTTTGCCATTTTTTCCATTTTATTAGCGTCATGCCCTATCACTTTTCCCCTCATTGATTTCAAAACAATGCATCTGCAGAGAGATGGGGAGGGTAAGTATGGTTCACCATAGTTTAGCTTTTTTGCCTTTATGGTTCACTTTGTTTGCCTTTTTATTAGCCCTTCTCCTGCTGTCCCCAAATATTAGGAAAACTGGGTTAAAAATGATACCCAGAAAATACTGTTTTTTGTTAGTTCCCTCTTTTCTTAAAACAGGAGATTTCTCATAAAATGTTTATTACCAGTTACTTATTTTCTGGGAAGCAGGTACAAGGGTTGTTTTGAAAATCACTTTATTGCTGGGTTTATTATGGGATTGCACGCTATGTACCCAATTTTTAGTTATCAGATATGGGCTTTAAAAACTAAGTTGATTATGTTCTTATTATCCTGAAAAAATGTAGTGCTTTAAATTGCTAATGCATAAAGTTAAACTAAATTAGTAGCAGTTCATAGGTATTGTGTGAAAAAAAAGAAAATGTCATTCTTGCTTTTTGACACTGTCAAGCCAATTTTTACATCCTAAAATACTTAACTCATTTTTGCTATTAAAAGCCATAGCATCAAAAATTTACACTGTAGTCATATATTAAGTTAATGTGTAGATGGAAAAGTCCCAATCCTCTCCCCAAATCAAGGGATACTTGAAGATAATTTTGTATTTGGAGTATATTTGTGGGTTCTGTGTTTTATCTGTATGTGTTCTGTATGTAATCAAGCCTTATTTGTGCAGAGACATCAGATACCTCAACACAGCTTCATTTGAGAACTTATAGGATAGCTCCAATAAAATAAATGTGCTTAAGGAGTACTGCTATTAAATTTTGTCTTGTTAATACTTTGGGGTTTAATTATTAAAATATGTATTATACACAGGAATCCTGTAGCAGAAAATAACCACCTCTGTTTAATGTTAGAGTCCAGGTATTGTCAGGTAAATTAGCTGCTTGTTTATATATGTAACAGTTCTTTTGTTGGAGTCCAAGAGCTTCATTTGCTGAGTATTCTGAATAGCATGGGGAATAGCTTCCACTTCTTAACATAGTCACTTGACAGTGAGGGACAATTTATTCATCTGGCAGCATTTGGCTCAATTAAATTCCCAGTTAAGGACTGTTAAATGTTTACTGTTTCTAAATGAAGACTTTTCCCTACTTGAAAAATAGCATTTAGTATAATTTTGAAGAGCTTGACAGTGTCCCTTCTTGCTTTGTGACTGGGTTCAGAAATTTAAAGTGTAACTCCTTATGTGAAATTAGAACTGAAGTAAAAAGTGAAGCTCAGACAATTTTAAACTGTAGTAGGCTATATGAAGATCCTAGGATCCCATAAATATTATATGAACCACTACAGAATGATATGGTTTAAAGAACATATAGCTGATACTGTGTGACTTTTTTTCATACAGAACCAAGAGACCCATGGTACTATTCTTTGTGTTTGTTTTCCAGAGCCATTTCCTGCTTTTAAGTCTTGGCAGGAAGACTCTGAGTCTGGAGAAGCTCAGCTGTCTCCACAAGCTGGAAGAATGAATCATCACCCCCTGGAAGAAGACTGTCCTCCAGTATTATCACATCGGAGTTTAGATTTTGGGCAAAGCCAGCGTTTCCTACATGATCCGGAAATGTTGGATTCCTCATCTAAAGCACTTTCTTTTGCTAGGTAAGTGATTTTTATGTTCTTATGGGCAGTGAATCCTATCATATACCCAGGTCCTTTGAGAGATTTTAATCCTCTAGGTCTATAATTGAGAGCTTTCGTCCCAATTTCATGAAGCATGCTTTTGTGGTTTATTATTTTGAGTGCCCCCAAATTCTGAGTTCATTGAGCATCTATTAAGGTTTGCTCTCTAATAGACATCTTTCCGTGATGTATTTATTTTTTCATTCATTACTGAAATTGATCCTGAAAGTTAAAACGTTTCCTTTGCAGTTTGAACATCAAAAGAGCTCTAAGCTGCTTGGTGTCTTTGTTTCTTTTCTGCATTTGACCAAGGGCCTTTTGAATAATTTCAGATTGTTTTCATTGCTACTGTGTTAGCTTTTTGTGGTCTCTAGCTTGGTTCAAGTTTCTTTTTAACACCTGTCCTTCAGTGTTAGGGGTTTAATTGCACTTAAAAAATTTACTTCTTGATAATAGTATGATGTTTTATCAGGGTGATAGGAGAGATGGTGTTGATAATTTGAAAATTTAACTAACAGTGTTCACCTCTTGTTTTTTTTTTTCCACCTCTTGTTTTAATTCAGGATTCGAAGATCATCCTTTAGTTCAAAAGATGAAAAAAGAGAAGACAGAACACCATATCAGTTAGTCAAGAAACTTCAGAAAAAAATCAGACAATTTGAGGAACAATTTGAAAGGGAAAGAAATGGGAAGGTAAGTTTGTAGCACTGTCTGTTGTAAAGTAGATCTGTTGGAACTTAGAGGACATCCTCCCATCTCTTTCCTGGGAGAGAGAACTAATCTAAGATGTCCAGAAAAATAGCACTCATATATCTGAGATCATATAGTTCCTTAGCCTTCTGATTCCGGACCAGTGTTCTTGCCATTGTACCACTGAATTTTTTCTATTTCTGTTGGAAAGAAGCTTGTTGAATTTTAAGGCAAATACTTTACATTGACAAATTATATTAGTGCTATTTCTGCTCCCTTAAAAACCACAGGTAGCCAGGGGAGGTGGGGGTGAAGGGGTAAGGTATTTAATCGTTAGAACATGTGAAGTAGGAAAAGTCTTATGCTTGAACTCAGAAGACACTTAGTCAGATCTGCTTTCTGCCAGTTGCGAGACCGTCCCCTGAGAGAGCTTTACTTAATATCTTGCCCTGTCTACTTAAAGTAAGATAAATGAAGATTGAGTGAAATCTCTGCTGTGAACACTCAAATACTATTTGAGCAGAAATTAACCTTTGGGACTTCCCTGGCAGTCCAGTGGTCAAGACTCCATACTTCCATGCAGGGGGTGAGGGTTCAGTTCCTGGTTAGGGGACTAAGATCCTGCATGCCACACTGCGTGCTGCAAAAAAACCAAAAAAAACACCCCAACAATAATAACAACCCCATTTTGCATACCCACAAAGATTTTAATGATCATTTTTCTTTTTTTAGAGTCTCATTTATTAATTTTACTGAGGTATTAACAAGTTTCTTAAAAACACTATATTTATGAAGGAACAGTGTCAGTCTGTGAGTAGGTTTATAGTCGTAGAGTTGTTGTAGGTTGGATTATCTGGGAAGCATTCTGAGACAGAGATTTCAGTGCATGCCATTTCAAGGGAGTGTTTAGGGAGAATTGCAGCTCTAAGGAGTAAGGCAGCATGGTTGAGAGGAGAATGTAGACCTGAGATACAGTTGCATTCATGGCCTCAGCCTGATTCCACAGTGTTTCAAGCTAGGATGGCCGAGTTAAGATGATTTAGGATTGACTGAATTAAGATGAAGAAGCCAGGCTTTTTTAATCCTGTATAACCAGTCATGGATGTGAGCTGCTTCGGAGGACGGGGTTGTAACCTTGGGCCAGGCAGCTCATATAGTCAAAGGCAAATCCCAGAGAGAGACTTAGCACAGACAGGGGTTGATGAGTGCGTAATCTGTGATTCTGTTTTTCTAATTTTTCAGCCCTCCTACAGTGATATAGCGGCCAATCCAAAGGTATTAAAATGGATGACAGAGCTCACCAAACTGCGAAAGCAAATTAAAGGTATAAAATGGGCCATTTTTCAATATAATTGCATTTTAAAAAATATTATTTATAATATCTGAGCATTATAGTTATAATTTTTGATAACTTTAAATCTTGAACACTGGCAAAATAAAAGTTCTCTTGTTCTTTTATTAGTTATAATCAAAGTTGAAATACGATGTTGTTTTCTTCCAAATGTCTTTCCCCTTTTTATTAGTAATAGCCTTTTGATGGATGCTGTAGATGATATAGTCATAGGTGGTATTGTATAGTGAAGTTTATGTGAATATTTCAAATATTAAGCAGTTTTGAGTTTCGGTAGGTATTAAGAATTTTTGATGGGTATTTCATCTAAGACTGAGAATATCTAATTATCAGTCATTTATACTACAAAGACTAAATTGTAAGTTGTGTTGAATAAAAAACTGGGTCTTGTGTTACTGGGTGTCAGCCCAGTATAGCAGTTGCTAAGATACATTTACTTTGTGGGTATTCAGTGGACATGCTTTTTAATAATTGTTAATACTTAAAGAATTATCTGTACCAAGTGTGGGAGTATAAGTTGGAGCATCACATTTGGTTTACTCGTTTGAATTTATAAAACAAAAATTTTAATGTCTATAAGTACCACGTGGCTTGAAAACATCTCAGGTTGTAGCAGTGAACAAGACAGAGTCCCTGTTGTCACTTGAGTTTATTTACATTCTTGTGGTTAAGTAAGTTCTCCTACTTATTTAGAATTTTCCTTTACAAATTCTATAAAAAATTTTCTCATTTAACACCAGTTTCCAGCCATCAGTGAAAATCAGTACTTTGAATGTATTACTAATGAGTGTCATTAAAATATTAGCCTCCTAATTTCCCAGTTTTCTTTCATTCTTACTGTCCTACAGTAAGTGCATTTTCTGCATCCAGAATTATTTTTTATTAAAAAACTATGTACTGTCTTTTTTATAACTCTTCGCTGGGCTTCCTTTTCCGCTTAGAACAAAGTTCAAACCCTTTGCTGGCTTTCAAGGCTTTCTATACTCTGCCCTTTCCCCGATTTTATCACTTTTCCTTATTTGCTGTTTTTTTAAATATGTCATGGTTTAGGAACATTGACTTGACTGTTGCCTCAACTAAGGAGAAATGTTCTTCACCTAAATCTTCTATACTAGGTTAGTCCTAAAATTCCATGTTCTTCTATACTAGGTTAGTCCCTTTTTATTCCATGTTCAGCTAGGGTGTCACCATATCAGAAAGGCCTTCTTTGTCAGTTCCATCCAAAGGAGTTGCTCTTTCAAAAAGCTTGTCACTTTAACATTGTGACATCATTCTATTTTATCTTCTTTATAGCAAATTAGCACTCCTTGAAATTATTTTATGACTCTGATTGCTTACTTTTTGTTTTTTACTTCCTGAATATATGACAACAGAGACCATGTCTGTTTGTTTACTGCTGTTATGCTCATCACAGCATTTTACTCTAGTAGCCATTCTATGAATATTGGTTGAAAGAAAAATCATACAGTTCTCCTGTTGTATATATATAATTTAAATATTTCATGTGACCTTGAAATACCTGAGCTTATGTGTTGTCGATGTATACTTTCTTCTTGTATGTCTTGCGTTTCTTTTAATTTAGTTGCATTTTAGCTAAAATCAGTAGTACTGATTTATCCTCTTGGTTTTAAAATGTAGATGCAAAACACAAAACCTCTGATGGAGAATTTGTACCTCAGACACGTCCACGTAGTAACACTCTTCCAAAAAGCTTTGGCTCTTCTCTAGACCATGAAGATGAAGAATATGAAGATGACTCCAAGGTCATTCACAAGGAGAAGAAGCCATCTAAGGAAGCAACACTTGAACTTATTCTGAAAAGACTGAAAGAAAAACGTGTCGAGAGGTGTCTTCCAGAAGATATCAAAGTAATCTTGAACTATGGTTTTTGCCCAGACTAGCCTTTAGAATCACTGAAATAAAATAATTATGATAGAGGCATAATGATGTCTAGGTAATCTGCTGCCCTGAGTCTACAAGTTTGCAGTTAAGAAAAATGTTTTTATCAGCATAACAGAAGTGCCTGAGTCACAACAATAAAACTAAGAAAACTTGAATGTGATCTGTTCACTTATATTGGAAGCAGTTAGCAAGATGAGTGTGTTTGATATACCTGAGTTTGAATCTTGGCCTTGTATCTTAGTAGTTGCATGTAATAAACTCTTAGCTTATGCCAGTTCCTGACTGTGCATTCTTCCAGTGAATCCCTTCAGCAGCCATGTGACTGTGATTATGTCCATTAAAATAACACAATATAGCTATGAGGACTAACAATGCGTTTTCGTGATGAACCATTACTCAGTAACCTGTGCTTAGGGCAGTCCTTGTCAAGGCACTTGGCACCCAAGGTCATTTATCAGATGAAGTTTGCTGAAAGAGTGCAGAGGTAGATTGCTTCAGGTGAACTTTTGTCAGGTAGTGATGAATCCTGATGTGCAGCCCTCTTGACAACAGAGTACACCTCGTGGTCTCAATATTAGTCTTTCTCCCTTCAAACACAGCTGGCTTAGAAATTCTAGTCACTGCCCTCCCCAGTTTTTCTTGGTTTTGCTTTTATGTTATACCAACCTCCTCTCCTCCCCACCCCCTTTCCTATAAATGATTTTGATTGGATTAGCTTTATTCAGATTCATTCTCCTAGGTTTAAGATTCAAACTTGAGGTTGAAATCAGTGTTTTACAAAGTCTACACTCAGCTATCCTTTATTGAATGTACTTAATATAAAATACTTGTTATAGAAAGTATGTATCCTCTGAATATATATGTATTTTTAACCTCTTCTTTTCATTCTGGTGGTAAACGGTCGTTTTAACCACTCCTGGTAGTAACTGGAAGGCTTCCCTGGTGGCTCAGTGATAAAGAATCTGCCTGCAATGCAGGAGACGTGGGTTTGATCCCTGGGTCGGGAGAATCTGTGGAGGAGAACTTGGCAACGCACTCCAGTATTCTTGCCTGGAAAATGCCATGGACAGAGGAGCCTGGTGGGCTACAGTCCATGGGGTTGCAAGAGAGTCAGACATGGCTTAGCGACTAAAAACAACAGCGAGTAACTGGAGAGTTTGTTTGGATTAAAGTATAGTCTGTGGAACATTGGTTCATTGGTATGTTAAATCTCATGCTGTGGAACAGAGGGAGGGGGGTTATGGGCAAATAAATTTGGGGCTCCTGCCTACTACCATTGGAGTACTAAAAGATGTCAGCAGAGTATCTTATTTTCAGTATTTAAAAAATGCCAGATGAAGGGGAGCAGAAATCATAGCATAGAAGTATAGGGTCACAAATCGATATTGCTGAGCTCTCTTCAGGAGCTTTCCACTATACTAGTACCAAATTTTCTTAGTAGTTTAGGAGAAATACCAAGTTTATAAGATCTATACTTGTGTATGCATGCGTTTTGAATATATGCTCACACAGAACAAAATTATAATGCTAATAAAAGATTATGTGCACTGGGAAGACCCAGAGGGATGGGATGGAGAGGGAGGTCGGAGGGGGGATCGGGATGGGGAATACATGTAAATCCATGGCTGATTCATGTCAGTGTTTGGCAAAAACCACTACAATATTGTAAAGTAATTAGCCTCCAACTAATAAAAATAAATGGGGGGAGAAAAGATTATGTGCAAAATTAAATGATAATAGGCATTTATTTTGTTTATTGTGTGCTGAGAAGGCACTGTGTAAATGCCTTTACAATGTATTAACTTGTTTAGTCCTCATTAGATTTCTATGAGATAGGTGAAAGTGAAAGTCGCTCAGTCGTGTCTGACTCTTAGAGACCCCATGGGCTATACAGTCCATGGAATTCTCTAGGCCAGAATACTGGAGTGGGTAGCCTTTCCCTTTTCCAGGGTATATTCCTAACCCAGGGATTGAACCCCGGTCTCCACATTTCAGGCAGTTTCTTTTTCAGCTGAGCCACAAGGGAAGCCCTATGAGATAGGTGATGTTATCCCCATTTACAGATTAGGATATTGAACAAAATGAAGATAACTAACCCAAGTTCACTAAGCTCTTATATTCATAACTTATTCAGATAAAATATAAATCAAACCACTAAAGGGATTGGTACCTAGTTACCAGAAGACCAGATTCTCCAGGAGACTGAAAAACATTGCCTACAAATCCATAAGCAAAAGATGTGTTCTTATTAACCTAAGCTAGAGTAATGGGCTGATCCTTTCAACCAAATTACTTACATTGCTGAAGGGAATGATGTAGCTAATGGGAGGGTTTTCTTTTTTATTCTAGAAAATGACAAAAGATCATTTGGTAGAAGAGAAAACAACTCTCCAGAAAAGTCTTCTTTATTATGAAAGTCAACATGGAAGGCCGGTAATGTTTCTCTTGATGAAAAGATTTGATTTTCTTTCTTACAGAACATGAATCACTTTTGTGGCCCACATCTTCGACCTGTTTCTTAGAGCATTGTTTCCTACATTTGGATGATTGCCTGCTTATTTAAAATAACTTTTTACAAATTGGAAGGAAGTCATATTGCCTAATATTTTAGAAATTTTAGATTTCAGATGACTAGGTGATTTCCGTTTTTCTTGCTTCAGGTGACCAGGGAAGAAAGGCATATTGTTAAACCTCTCTATGATAGATACAGACTTGTAAAACAGATGCTGACAAGAGCTAGCATCACTCCTGTCCTTGTAAGTAAAACATGCGAGTATTTATCTAGTTCATTTTACCAAGACCCACTCGTGCCAAAAAAATCCACATGGTAGTATATTGGAGAAATACATAGCCAAGGTAACAAGGATTGTGTATGTAAGGTGAGGTTACTGCTTTTAAAATAATAGGAAATTAATAAGTGCTTACTACTATCTCCCAGGCACTCTTACAAGCATTTTAATCTATGATTATGTTATTAAGTCCTGACAAGTTAAGTTACAACAGATAGAGGATGGTAGCCTCATTTCACAGGTGATGAAATTGAGACTCTGGAGTGATGTGCCCAGGGTCATCTACTTATAGAATTAAAAACTCATATTTCAGACCCTTGCCCAGTTTCTTTCCATTTAAATTCAAGTCTTTGAAAATACATCACTCTTGTGATGGCTATTAGTTCCCTTAACTGCAGAATAATATAAACCTAGTTTTTCATCTTTTTAAATGAAAAAGTCTATTAAAATAATAATATATATTCATATCTATGTGCATTTTTTAAAGGAAAAAAGAAAACTCTTAATAACTTACGTGCATATTGAGTGCTATCTCCAAGTTAACCATTAGATGGTAGGGCCTGTGTCTCAGGCTCAAATAGAAGACAGCATGTAGCCCATTCTGCATCAGGGAATTCATTCTTTGGAACTTACAGTTTGCTTAAACTTGCTGGCCATTTTTATGTTGATGGCCTTTTGAATAGGGGTTCCCTTTAGGCTTTGACATTTTGCCCTTACAGAAACATTCTTTTATAAACTGACCATTTTTTTAGTTGGCTGTCACTCAACAGAACTTTATTTAGATATAAGCAGTTTTCTTTGAACAGTGAATCATGTATACTTTATACTCTTTTCACACATAGCTAGTTTATTTAATACTGATTTTATCTTTTGATTACGAAGTGTTTCTGTGTGTCATTGACATTTTCATAATTCCATAATAGTGTATTAGTCTTTGAATTTATTTATGAAAATCACCTTAGAATTCCACAGGTTTGTTTTGTCTTTAAAAACTGAGTCTATAGGAAGCATTTCTAGATCTTATGGACTGCTAAATTTGACTATCATAAAGAAAAATTTGGAGTCTAAAAGTTAAGCCAAGACAATAGGAGAGAATCATTTTTCCAACTGCCAGCTGGTGCTGGCAGTTCCTCACAAGTTTAAACATTGAGTTACTATATGACATAGCAGTTCTCTTCCTTGGATATACCCAAGAAAATTGAAAAAACATTTGTCCACATAAATTTGTAGGCATGTCTTAAAAGTAGCATTATTCATAATAGCTAAAGTGTAAAAAACTGTCTAGATCTGCAGCCAACTGATAGATAAATATGATGAGGTATATCTGTATGGTGGAATATTATTTGCCAAAGGGATGAAGTACTGGTACACACTATGACATGGATAAATCTTGAAAAACAGTTAGGCTAAGTGAAAAAAGCTGGACATAAAGGCCACTTCTATGAAACATCTAGAATAGACCAGCTCATTGAGACAGAAAAGAGATTATTGTTTGCCATGGGCTAGGGAGAGAGGGCTAATGAGTACAGTTTCCTTTTAAGGTGATGAAATGTTCTAGAAACAGATAGTGGTGATGGTTGCACAACTTTATGAATATACTAAAAACCACTGAATTGTATACTGTAAAAGAGTGAATCTTATGGTATGTGAATTACATCTTAGTGAACTGTTATTTTTTTTAAAAAGAAATATAAAGGGGTCCTCAGACCAAGAAAGTTGACAGCTTTGTTAAAAAGAAAAAATGCTCCCAATTAAATTATCAGTAACACTTCATTAGTTAGAATTTTAAAAACATTCATTGAATGAGCTCTTTAGAATTACCTAGACATAAATTACCATTTATCACAAAAGCAAAAATATAGTCAGAAATTCCTAAAAACTTTTAAAGCATATGGTTAGGAATTTGAAAATAAAGTTTAAGATCGTTAAAATAAAGTTTAAGATCTGTTATACTTTATTTTATCTGTAATAGCGAAGTGAATCTTCCTTGAATACTAAAAATGTGACATTTGTATGTTTATTGTCACAGGGATCTCCATCCACCAAGCGAAGAGGTCAGATGTTACAGCCAATCATAGAGGGAGAAACTGCACATTTTTTTGAAGAAATCAAGGTAATCCTTAAGAGAAATCATTCTGTGATCTTTTTCCTAAAGGAAAAGTTGACACCATGGCATGTTTGATTTTCTGTTTGCATATATATATATTTAGGAAGAAGAAGAAGATGGTGTTTGTCTGTCCTCTGAGTTAAGTGATATCTTGAAAACTGCTGTACAGGCACAGTCGTCATTGGAAAACTCGGAATCTGATGTTGAAGAAAATCAGGAAAAACTGGCTCTAGATCTCCGATTGTCAAGTACTCGAGCAGCTTCTATGTATGTATGCTGGTTTGTGATTTTAGCCTATTTATGTAAGAAATGCTCAAAAATTTATACACAAAGAAATTTTAGTGTTAAATAATTGAATACTTGGAGAGAATGAATACAGTGCTCAAGAAATACAATGATTTTAGAAAGTGTGCTTTACAAAATATGTTGTTATTCACATTTTCTGAATTGAAAATTAGTGTGTGATAAAAATTAAAAGAAGCTAAAGTCCTACATTTGCTGTATGACAGAGTGCTGGAACCTGCTGAGAGTTATCTGTTAGTTTATGCTCCATCAGCGTCTTTACTTGATGTGGCCTTGGATTCTAATACTTAGCCCTGGCATCACTTTAGGATCATGTGGAATGTTGTTTTGTTTTGTTTTTGTTTTCAGTACTTATGCTGAGCCCTACAAGCAGCTATTCTGATTTAATTGCTCCAAGGTGAATCTTAGACATTGGCTATTCCAGAAGCTTATCAGCTGAGTTGATTTTGCAGCCAGGGTTAGGAACAGTGTTAAGAACATGATGAATTTAAAGTACCCTTTCAAGTGTTTTCTTCCCATTTCAATTTTAGGCCCGAATTACTGGAACAACTTTGGAAAGCCAGAGCTGAAAAAAAGAAACTACGTAAAACATTACGGGACTTTGAAGAAGCATTTTATCAACAAAATGGAAGGTTTGTTTGAGCATCACAAAATTTAATTCTCTTTCTTCTTGTCACATGTCCTGCCCATATATTGAAATAAATAGATAAGAATAGAAATGTGCATTTAAGGATGCTAGCATTGAAAATAAAAATAAAAAACCTTTTATTCCTTGCAGTCCTGCTGTTAATGGAAAGAAAAAGCTAGAGCTGGAGTAAACAACATCTGACAAAATATATCAGTATTGTCCTAGAGAGATGTGGTTGAGTGGCAGTTATTTTAAGTTCCTTAATTCAGTATCTTTACCCTTTTGGAAGTGTTTGTGGATGAGATCTCCTTTTAGAAAGGGTCCCAAATGTGTGTGTTATTCTCAATTAGTTTGGATTCTTCTACTGAGACCATGGCTGCTTAGACTGTGTGTTGTCTCATTCTAGGACACATACTTCCAAAGTGTGTATTAGTGTGGCAGTCTTGTGGCTCCTATAATACAGTATGGCCAAGTGCCTTTATCTAACTGGGTGATGCACAGTTGACCCAGTGGGACTTTTAAAAGTAAGGAAAATACATTCTAATTCAGACTGTGGCCAGAAGTGACAATTTATCTCAGGCCTCAGAAGAGTTTTTCCAAGTTACCAGATGATCTTACTTACCAAGCCATTAACTCTACAGTAGTTCTCCTGCATCAATTTTGTGTCTGTTTCAGTTACACCATGATTAACTGTGGTCCAGAAATATTAAATGGAATGTTCTAGAAATGAACAATTCATAACGTGTAAATCGTGAACTGTTCTGAATAATGTGATAAAATCTTGTGCTGGCCGACCCAAGACGTGAATCATCCTTTTGTCCAGCATATCCTGCCCCTTAGTCACTCAGTATCCATCTCGTTTATCAGATTAGCCATCACAATATCTCAGTTCCTGTATTCAGTTAATCATTATTTAACTTAATGTGTCTCAAAGCACAAGAGTAGATATGTTAGCAATTTGGATATGCCAAAGAGAAGCTATAGAGTACTTCAAGTGAAAAGAGGGGTGAAAAGAGGGAAAGAAAAAGAAAATTCTTAATCAGTCAAGGAAAAAAATAATCATATGCTGAGGTTGCTAAGAACTATAGTAAGAACAAATCTATCCATGAAATTGTGAAGAAGGAAAAAGAAATTTGTACTAATTTTGCTGTCACACCTCAGACTGTAAAAGTTATGGTCCAATGCATGATAAATGTTTAGTTATTAATATTATGAAAAAGGCATTAAATTTGTATAATAAGATGTTTGAGAGAGACCATGTTCGCATAACTTTTATTAGAGTGTATTGCTATAGTTATTCTGTTTTATTATTAGTTATTGTTAATCACTTACTGTGTCTTAATTTATAAATTAAAGTTTATTATAAGTATGAATGTTAAGTATATATAGGATTTGGTTTCAGGCATCCACAGGAATATATCCCCATGGATAAGAGGAAACTACTGTATTTGAGTCTTCTGTGTAGGGTGGCATGTATGGTTTAAAAAAAAAAATCTCAAGTGCATTTTCCAAGTGCTTTCTAATTGTTTGTCTTATTGGGAAAAAAACCTTTGTTTATAATTAGGATAGTTCAATATTTTACCTGATTATTAAACTGAATTGCATTGTACCCCTAATATAAAGTGAGAAAGATGACTTTTTTTGCTACCAGTAAGATGTTTTGCATCTTAATTCACTGAAGCCAGAGTTAAGTAATATATGAAATGGCTCACTGTAATTCTCTAGAACTTATGATACACTTACAGACCTGACAGAGTCTAGCAATGCATGTCTTATTAAAATATTTGATTATCTCTAATAACCTCCAGTCATCATTGATACTGATAATGTCCATTAATGGATATTATCAGTATCAATGATGATCAGAATTTGAAGTATTTTAGGAATATTCTGTTCAGTTGAAGGGAAATAGTCCAATAATCTTTTTTTCTTGCAGTTTTTTATTTGAGCTTATATTGGGTAATATTCTGTCTCACATTATGACAACTTCTGGGATTTTATTTTCCAGATGATCTCTAAGTTTTAATTTCTCTCCTAGGAATGCCCAGAAAGAGGATCGTGTTCCAGTGCTTGAGGAGTACAGGGAGTACAAGAAAATTAAAGCCAAGCTTAGGCTTCTTGAAGTTCTTATCAGCAAACAAGATTCTTCAAAATCCATATAAAATACGGTCCTTGACAACATCATAAAATCAGTTGTATTCCCTGAAGCTATCATCATGTGTACTTGGCTGGTAACTTAAGTTCATTCTGTCAGGCACTCAGAGTTGCATTTTATACTTGCTGGTGGTGCCACTAGAGAAATGATGGGAGGGTAAGTAGACCTTATCTAGGGAGTGCGATGTTCCATATTAACCACAGACTGTCCTCTCTACCTTTAGCAAACATCCACTTTTCTTCGTTTTGTACTGCAGATACATTATTAAAAGACTAATATTTTATCTTTTCAACTTTAAGAACTTTGAAGATAGAAGCTTTTTGTTATTACCAACTTTATTATTTTGTTTCTCATTACTCAAGAAAATTGAGAGGAAAATCTTCACATTGAATTCTTCTTCGGTTGCCTTTTTCTTACAGAATGACTGAAAATTTGAAAGAAAAGCCTATAAATGTGCACATATGCAACTATGTTCTATTTTTTCTTAAAAAACCAAAATCAACTGAAATTTCAAGTCCTACAATGGAACCTATTTCTGTTAAATACCCAAAGTGACGCTTTTTCATCCATAGTATGTTAGCAAAAGTTTGCAGTTCAGTGGTCACACAGCTCCTGGATGAAGATAACAATGGCTAGACCAAAAAGTGACCTTGCTTATTAGTGTAGTGAAAATACACACCACACATCACACACAGAACTGAATTATATCACATGCTGCCTTTGGAACTTAAGTTACTCTTTGTTTCCTCAGTTGCAGTTTATCAGTTGGTGATGATGTGATTTGTCTGGATTAGATCCTGCGTTTTTTCCCCCCTACCCACCTCCAGATAATGTGAGAAAATAGCCATGTCAGCATGTAGAAACTGATGGTGCTCAGATTTGTGTGTTCAATCAAATGGGCTTAAATTGGCAAAAGAATTCATTATGCCTGAAGTGAATCTATTCTTAACAAGGGCTATACCACTGCATTTGTTCTTGTACCTTTGGTGGGGTGTATCTTTTTTTTTTTTTAATTAGCAAAATCCATAAAGAAAACATCCTCTAAAGGAATTTGCTCAGTCACATGCTATTTAAAGCACCTGGCTGTGTGATTATTGTGGTATGCCCCTTGTCATACATTCTAAGCATATCTTCTCCTTTGGGTTTGCATGGCTTTTCTTCAGGTTCTTTCCTGGTATAATTCTGCTAATTAATTTCACAGAATAGTGACTTTATTTGTGCTAACAGTGTAATAGTCATTAACAGCATATTCTGATCAGGCTTGATCTAAGTGTTAATTTTTTTCCTGGTGCTTTTTTGGATGGATGTGCCCATGTTTGTGCCCATGTTTTGCATGCAGTGACTCATGCATGGTTTTCTTAACTAGCTAATATTCATAATTTGTTTCATACAAAAATGGACTTTTGCGACATCCTTTAATAAGGTGAGGGAAGCATGAACCTCAGACTTCTGGCACTATTACATAGCACATGAAGTAGCTTGATAATAAGTAGCATTTCTAGTACTTCACATTTCACCTGTGTGTGCAATGCCTTTTTTGGGGGGAGGGAATGTTCCTTGGTAGTGAACACGTTGGGGAATAAAGCACTAAATCCAGCCCTTTTCATGTGGTTTCCTTTTGATACATCTTGGTTATTCATAATGTACACCTAGAATTGTGAAATTGAAAACACCAAAAGATGTTATCACTTTGATTTTGAATTCATCATGCAGTGTGCATTTAGTTTATGTCTTTTAGTCTCCAGACAGGAGTATATCGAAACATCTTATTTAATGTGCACTGTGTATTGTTTTATATGAATGTTTTATTTTATATACCACATGCAAAAATGTCCATATGCACTATTTAAATGTTTTAAATAATATATTCCTTCTTTATAATGCTAAATCTATATTAGTACCATATTTTTATAAGTCATTGGCCGACTGGTTTCATTTTAGAATTAACAGCTGCTTCATGATGTTGGTTATTCACTGTTAATGTTTGGCTGTGAGTAGAATAGATAAAAAGTAGCCTAGCAGCATGCATGCTGTGTGACAGTATTGTGTGTCCTAGTTCAGCAGTAAGTGGTAGAATTAGGCAATTTGTGATAATTTTACTTTGGTACAAGTAAAAGCTGTATATCTATATACAAATAATATATAGATATATATGACTGTAAGTATCATTGCATTGCTGTGTCTGGCACTTCATTGTATAGACTTTTGTAATAAAAGAACGTTAATGTTCTAAGTCTCTGTAAATGTTCTTTGTTTTTTTCACTAGATGTTAAAAAAGAAAAATAGAAACCTCAAGTGTTCCCTTGCCTTAATGTTCTCAGGCTCTGTTTGAATTACCCCAACCAGAGACCATGCGGAGAGACTGCAGGGTTACTAAACCACGTGACTGGCTATAGCTCTAGGGAGTGGTAAGACAAAGAAGAGCCATGTTGTTGATTCTCTTTGGAAATCTAGGGAGAAGATGCAGAGAGAATAGTCTTTGTTTCTTGTTACAGTCAGTTATCTTATTAAGAAAATTAGAAATACAGTATCCAAGAGAAGAGCTTGGTTTGAGGAAGGTGAGTATATTTAACAATTCCTTTATTTGAGTTTTACAGTCCAGGGACTGTTGAGCACAACGTGGGAGTCTATGGTCAAATAATGTTGCTTAGGTTAAGAGAACATGTGGCTCTTCTAGGAGGGCTTATGTAACCTCTATTAGAAAAGTTTCCTTGCAGTTTCCCAAATGCCAGCCATTCACAACTTCGTAACCATCCATACAGGGCTTTTGCAGCACCCTCATTTATCCTTTCCAAACATAACTTGTGTTTTTATAACCCTAAAGCTCCTGCTTTGCTCTTTTTTCTTTTTCAAGGATATTTTGCTTTATAAAGTAATTGAGGAAGCACTTTTGCGAAAGTGTTAACTTTAGAAACTGTCTAGATGAATTTATCATTTGAAGATATTAGTGAAATTTCTGTAGGTGGTTGGGAAGTTTGTTCTACACTTTGCCTTTTTCCAGGAGACTTCCAACTAGGAAGAATGGAGGTGAGATTATTTTACCTGGGGTCTTATATAATGGCTTTCTAGGATTCTAAACATTTATTGGCCCATGAAGTTAGAAACATGGTGTGTGATGAGAATACCAGCAGTTCTTATACTAACACTGTGAAAAGTATCTTTACTTACTTAACCATTTACTTAGAGACCTGCCCCAAGAACTAAAAGCAGTATTATTTTATACTTCGCATTTTCATTCCTAGAATTTAATAATAAATCTCATTATAAAAGTCTTTACCTGTACCTGTGTGTATGTATTGTGGAGGCATGTTGTAATATGCATGGATTATATATTGTGTCCCATTCCTAGGAATAATTTGATGATTATCATTGACCCTGATGATAGTTTAATGGTAGCTGGTTTTGTGCTTTTAAAATGTACCTGAAATGGGGACAAATTTAGGAACTAACTCAGTTCAGGAATAAATTGTTAGAAATGCTCCATGATTGTATCACAGATTCTCACCTCCACTTTTTTTCAGTATTGTAGAGCTGAAACCTTCCTCATCACTCGGTTTAGTTTTAAACTGACATAGTGTAATTCTTTCTCCAGCTCCACAGCATATAAAAAGAGGCTAGAGGATAATTTAGAAGGGGAGAATGAGTCAGTAACATTTTTGTATGTAAGGGGACAGTAGGTTATTAGCGCCTATTGTGAAATACTTTTGAGTGGGAGGATAGTGTTTTAAGCTCCCAAAACATGCCTAGCATGGCCAGTTACCAGATCTAATCTTTTAAAGCTGCGTGGAGCACAGTATTTACTACGCATGTCAAGTATAAGTGGCATTTCCTGTTATCTAGAGATGTAAGGACAAAAGCAATTGGTCTTACTCTCACCTTCCATTTAAATAAACGGAGTCTTATGCTTTCTATGTTACTTTAAAATTGGGTAAAAAAACTGGGAAAAAATGTGGCATCTTAACAGAATAAGATTCTGGGTTCAGGAAAATTGTGGGATGTCCCCAGTCCTCATATCATGATATTCCATAATACCCTGGTTAGAACAAATGCTTACTCTCGGAATTCTTGTTGAGTGACAGTCTGGTAGTCATCTTGAATTTCTGTAGAATAATACTTTTTCTCAAGCCTCTCTTTCCATTTTTTCATCTGCTCTGCACTTTGAATCTCCTGTAAAGTTAGAGGAAAAGCATATACTGCAACCTTTATATTTTTCTCTATTTTAGGCCTATGCACATAAGCATCACAGGGTTGAGAATCTTTAGCATTACTCTCCAGGGCTGTGATTTTTGAGCCGCTCTGGCTTTTTGCTCTGACTGATTTTGAGGTGTATGCATAAGCAGAGTCACTAAGAGAACTTGGTGTTAAAACTGTTTAGCAGGTTAGGGGTTTTTTAAATTATGAATATTGGCTTATTCCCATTTCACTTCCTGGTGAAATATGCATCCTTTAAAAAACCCATATCAACCATCACTTTTCTATGAAGCTTTCCTTGACATTCATAGATAAATGATACATTTCCTCATGGAGCAGCAATTAGGTGGGGGCATTTGCACAAGTTCCTAGGTTCTAGTCACTCCACCTCTTCCCTATAGGTGGTAGCTGCTTCTTAGAGTTGTTTGTGGATTAATTTGGTGTTCCACAGTGGTTCTTGGAGTCCTCTCATGCTCAGAAATGAATTCTGTGATGTAACCCGCCTTTTTGAACTACCTAACATGTTTCTGTTTTTTGGACTGGACCCTAACTGATGACTGGTTGGTAACTGAGAAGGTCCAAAGAAACAGACCCTTGTAGATAGTGTACCTCCACCAAGGGACACAGTTAACTTGAATTTGAGATCACCACCTGGTTATTTGGGATTCCTCAGGTTACTGAACGAGCAGGCAAAGAAGTGACGGAGGTGACTCATTCAAGTTACCAAGGAGAAATTGGTGTTGCTACAAAATGGGCTCAGAGAGGGCTATGTTATGGAAGCCAGGGAATTCTTTGAGCAGTGCCTCTTAATGCTTCCATGTCTAAAAATAAACTCGTTTATTTTAAACATTGAGTTCTTAAGGAATTGTCATTGGAGCTGAAAAGATCTTAATGTTGTCCAGAGATGGCCACAGTTATTCTTGGTACTTTGCTTCTCCCCTTCTGGGGAAAAAATAAGAGTGCTTTCATTTGTATATAGGATAGTTCCATCTTATTAGATGGAAACTAGAAATATTGTCATTTTATGGAAGATCAAATGTGTACTAAATTGCCGAAGGGGTGAATTGGGCTGACCATTTATCTAATATCTCTCAACTGAAAATTTGCCTTCTTACACTTCTACGCTCTTTTATACGCTTTGATGCTGGGTCTCAGGCTTTGCAAACTTCATTCCCCAGACTCCCTTGCTACCAGATTTATTAGGTTTTGCCTTACTGGATGATGGCAGGGACAAGGTTCTTGTTTTCTTTCTACCAGCATTGCTTCTGCAAGTGATCGTTATCTCCAGCAGTGTTTGGCTCCAGGCTGCAATGGTCCAGCTTCTTTTGGCGTCCCCAGAAACAGATTCATCACACTCCCTAGGAAGTATCAGGAGCAGCAGAGGTGGGAGGGAGGTGACCCCAGAGGTCTGAGCAATAGCTCCAGGCCCCTTCTTAAGTGTCTTAGGTTCTGATAAACCCATTTTTTGTAACTTTAGCCCTGGGAGTGGTACTATCCTAACAGTTATTATTTATGAGTTGCTTCAGTGTTTTTACTGTTTCTATCTTCCAGTACCTGTGTAATCAATTCTCTGTAATTTTCTCTGTTTGGAATACATAGTATCATTTCCATTTTCCTGACTAGGTCCTCACTCATACATGTAGTATGTCATTTGGTCAAGTGTATTTTTGTTTTTAAGGAATGTTTTCAATTTTTCCTTATCTTGGTTTTAAATGTTTTAAAATTAATCTGTGGGCATTTTCTATTTTGTTGCTATTATAGATTCTTTTATTATAATATTTAATGAACTGGTTGATGTTTGCATATATGACATGATGACTGTATTGATGTAAATTATTTTTTCCTACTACTTAATCTTTTTGTCATAATTTTTCAGTTCATTGTATACCTGAAAAAGAGAATCATATCTCAAATAGAGGTAGTTTTTACTTTTTCCTTTTCAATTCTTGTACTCCTTGCATATTTCTCCTGCTTAATTCTTTTGACTGATCCTTTTAATATATCTTTGTCTTGTCTTTGACATGTCCAGTTTTTCCCTGTTAGGTAAGGTGCTAGCTTTGGGGTGAGGTAAATTTGTTTTTATCATGTCAAGTTAGAGTCTGTTGATTCCTGTTTTGTTTTCCCCCTCAAAATTGATGTTGAATCTTACCAAATATCCAGCATCTATGGAAAATAATAATGTAATTTTCCTTTTTTGATTTATAAATAGAATGAATTATGTTAATTAGTTGATTATATAGTTTTAAATCATTTTTACATTCTTAGAATAAACCATATTCTGAGTCATATTGTATTCTGTTGGATTCTGTTTTCTAATACTTTATCTAGGATTTTTGCTTTATGATACATGTGGTATTTTCTTTTTCTGTTTTGTTTGTTTTTTGAGGAATACAACCTTTACCAGTTCTTAGAATCACTATATATTTGCTTTATAAAAATAATTTGGAAGTTTTCAGTTTTCTCTTTGCTCTGGAATGATTCAAACAGCTTGAAATTATTTATTCCTTAAAAATTTGGTAAAATTCCCTTGTGAAACCATCTGGGCCTGAGTTACTTTAGAAGTAGTTCTTTGATGACTTTATTTCTTCTATAGAGTGGATTTAAAAGTCTCTTTTGGGCTCAGTTTTGATAAATATTATTTTCAATTTATTGAGGTTTTCTCTATGGCCCAAAATATCTGTTTTCTTGAGTGGATTTTTGAAAAACCAAGTATATCTTCTGAGAGTATGCAGGTTAGTACGTAATTGTACGATCACTTTATTCATTACATATGTATTTTTAAATCCTTTCATTTTTTTTTTTTCTTGATCTGTTCTCTACTTTTAGTGCATTCTTAAATGTTTTCCATTTTCTTAAGTCTAGTAGTTTTGATGGATTTGATGCCATATTATTTGGTGCATAGATAATCATGACTATTGAAGTTGACCTTAGCCTTATAAAGTGCCCTTTGTCTCATTTAGAACTTTTGGTTTAGAATTCTACCTTGATTTACATTAAGTTGTATCTGCTGATAATTTTGCTTGCCTTTTTACCATGGCTCATACTTTTATACTTAACTTTTCTAAGTCACTTTGTTTTAGGTATATATTTTAGGCTATAACATAGAATTAGGTGTTGCTCTGTGATTCAATCTGAAAACATTTTCTTTTAAAGTAAATTAAGCTTATTTGTCTTTACTGATATAGCAGATATATCTGGTCACAGTTATATTGTTTTAAGGTATATTTAAAGTCTTACCATGTGATATATCTTCAGTTTTGGTACTGCTTCCTTTTAGGAATGTATGTATTTTTGTTTTTGTGGTCATGTATCTTCATACATCCTAGGTCATCCCTTTCTTGTTTTGGTTCCCTCCACAAGAACCAAAGAAGTTCAACAAAACTTGGGTTGTAATTTCTTCCTCTTCATTTCTTTCCTCTCTACTCCCCAAGTATATTTAATCATATTACCATATTTTGTTTTATCTAAGAGATGGAGTTTGTTGTAAAACCCGTTAAACCATTCTGTGTACTATTTAGGAAAAATATTGCTACCAGCTAAAATATGGCATGTTATCAATTATAAGGTACATTTTAATTTCAGATATATTAAAATATGGAAAATGTGTTTTAAAATTAATAAAACAATATCTTATTTATTACTATACTCTTAAATATGTAAAGCTTCTTTTTGGTTGTTAACTCTAAATGATAATTCTTCAGCATTTTAGCCATTACATATGAAATAAGTAGCTTTTTTCCTATGTTGTATCTTCTCCCTTCTTTTTCTAAAATATCTCAATCATCTCTTGTTTGGCTGAAGATGATCCTCACATAGAATCCTCAGGAATACAGTGGTATTCCCCAAGTTTTTACATTTCAAAACTGTTTGAGCCTTTCTACTTGAAGCACAGCTTTGCTGGATATAAAAAGCCTTGGCTTACATTTTCTTTCCTTGCATATATTGTAGGTGTTTTGTTGATTTATGGCGCTGAATGATGTGCTAATCTAATTTTCTTAGATTTCTAAGTAAATTTAAGTTTTACTTGGACAAGTCTCATGTTCATTTAGGTAATTTTTCCCAGGTACACAGTAGATGTCTTTTAAAAGTTTATATTGTCTTTTATTTCAGAAATGGCTTATTGAATTACAGCTTTGTTTTTTAAAAGAATCTCAAACTTACAGAAAATTTACAGAAAGTTTTAAGAATAACACAAATACTTTTTATCCTTTGAAGTATTTAACATTGCCAACATGAATGCCTCATTGTCTCTGAATACTTCAGTGTGTATTTTCCTCATATAAGGACATTCTCCTTTATATGCAGAGTATAGTCATCAGAATCAGAAAATTAATAGTGATGGATAATTACCATCTAAATCCCCAGTTCCCCATTCAAATTCACCAGTTGTTCCAATGATGCCTGTTGCAGTAAAAGGATCCAGTCCATGATTATGCACTGTATTTACCTAGTTTTTAATCTCAGTCTGGTGTAGATCCTCAGCTTTACCTTGACTTTCATGACCTTGATGCTTCTGAAGAATATAGGCCAGTATTTTGTACAACTGTCCCTCAGTTTCTTTTGTGTAGTGTTTTGTCATGTTGTGCACCTCTGATGAAAACTTTGCAGAAGAGATTGTGTGTGCTCTTGGTGTTCTATCAGATGACATGTGATTTTAGTTTAGTTCTGGTACTGTTAGTGGTGCTGATTCCAGACTTCTCTACCCTAATGTTATTCCTTTTCTTTTGGTAGTAAGTGTTTTGTGGAGAGGTATGGAAATGTACTATTCTTCCTCAGACTTTTATTCATGTAAATATTTAGATCAGTGTGGACTCATGGAATCCTCTTTTATTCCATTTTAAATTAAAATTTTAAATTAAAATTCATTACAGTGCTTAAGTAGTCCCAGACTTGGCCAGTGGGAGCCCCATTAACGCTGACTTTTTGTGTCCTTTTATGAAATTTCCATCATTCTATGTGGAGTATATAGTATGAAGCACCTATACTTTCCAGTCCTGGAATTAACTGTACTTCCAAGAAGCACTGGTTCCTTTTGGAGGAGAATGGTATTTGGAAACCCAATGTCTGGACACTTGTGTCATTGCTACTAGGATGTCGCTCTAGCTTTCTCAGTGTACAGAACTAGAAGATACATTCACACACAGACACATACTTCTGCATTTCTAATCCAATACAACGTTCATTTTAACCTTCAACCTTTCCATTTATGCAATTCCATTGTCTGATAATGAGAACCCTTCCTCTAGCAGTATTACTTGTTTGCTTATTCTGATCTCTCAATCTTGCTGTTCTCTTTCTCAGTATATTGGAGAGTGGGAAGCTTCCAGAAGTAGAGCAGTGTTCTATTTTTTCACTTGGGTGGTAGTGGTATGTGAAGATTTGCTTAATAATTATTTAGTAAACATATATGTGTTTAGTCATTTGTTGAATATATAGGTTATGACTTTGAAATACAGGAAAAATCATTAAAGTGATTCATCACATTAATGATTATAAGAGAATGATTACATAATTATCGCTATAGAATATACTCACTAAACTGTGTGCTAAGCCCACAGTGAAGCGTACAGCTATAGGATGAGGGTATCTGGCAAAGAGCACCAGTAGGAGAGAAGGAATATTTGGAATCCAAACAATTTGTCCTAAATAAAAAAGGATCTAGATCCTGGGAAAAATCTGGAGGTAGCAACTACTGCTCTGAAGAAAGCAAATCATTCAATTCTTAATAAGAACTTTTTCTAATAAAGCTATCACTTCTTTATGAGAAAATTAAAGTCTTACTTTTTCATCAAAACCTTCTCTTCTGGCTTTTTCAGCCAAATCTTTGTTTTCCATACTGAGAATATGAAATAAAAAACAGAGGCATATGATAGTAAAAAGGAAAATGACAGTATAAAATACTACCAGATCTATATTAAGGATGAATTACATTTCTGTTCTTTCTGATAACACTAGTTATCTAGACAATGTTGTCATTAATAAGTTCTCTAGAGTATCATATCTCTAGCTGTAAAAACATGTTTATATTATGTCCCACTTCCAGAGATCTGTATTTGGGAAGCATTTTGACACCAAAATAATGCAATAAATATATTCTTAAATATTTTGTGTAAAAATTTCTTTACTTTAGTAGCTAAAAACATGTATTAGTGTGCATGTACTAAAATAATTTCTTAGTTTTTAAGAGGAAAATTACTTTCCTATTAAAGCTGTTAAATCCTGTTACTCTCTGTTAAAGCTTTCTCTGAGTGGCATGGTGTGCCTTTTGTTAATTTTAAATTGTTCAGAGTTTCATGACACTCAGAAATTGTGACGTGCTACTGGGTGTCTTGACAACTTATTTAGAATCAGCACATCAAATGGTTGTTGTTTTATAATCAAAACCTTACTCTCATTGTAAGTTTCTAATATAGAGCTTTAAAATGCTAAGTTAAAAATTGAAGAAAAGTGATCTTACCGTTCCTTGTCTTCATCTGTTTCAGGTTTTTTTAGTTTGAGTTTTTCGAGAGCATTGTTGTAACTCTGGGCATAATTTAAAATAGTTTAAAAGTTCATAAGAAATATATTCTGTATTTTTAATTTTTGACTAAGGTAAAGGAAAGAGGGAATGCTTGCCTTTAGGGGCTTGCTGCCCTAAGAAATGTAGAGGCAAATACCATGGTTATCCTTCTTTCACCTTGTCACTACTTACAGTTTCTGCCTCTGGTGAAAAAGTTGGCATCACACTTGAATTTGGGGGAAAATCTTTTAATAATATTATTGTTTATTGCATTGATGATATTAATACTTTAGTGCACATAACCAACATCATAATCAAGAGATAAAAGATAAAAACCCCACAGTTAAGCTCACTGAAATGAAGTGAAGTGAAGTGAAAGTCAGTCAGTCATGTTTGACTCTTTGCCACCCCATGGACTATAGTCCATGGAATTCTCTAGGCCAGAATACTGGAGTGGGTAGCCTTTCCCTTTTCCAGGGGATCTTCCCTACCCAGGGATCGAACCCAGGTCTTCCGCATTGCAGGCGGATTCTTTACCAGCTGAGCCACATGGGAATCTCATTGGGGAACATAATAGATTACTTTCACAGATAAGTTCTTGGACAGAGTTCTTAAGCCCCCCCTACCCCACAGCTAATAGGACTTTTTCTATGTGAAGTGCTATGGTTAGAGCTGAGGATATGCAGAGATAGACAGAATGGTATACACATGACTCTGCTACAATTCATAATACATGTTGAGAGGACAAGGAAGATTCCTCTCTGACAGGGAGAATAGAATGTCAGTGAGAGAGCAGAGGGAATATTCCTGCAGAGTCAGGGAATGACATGAGCAGAGGCCCAGAGGACACAATGAGAGCAAGCATGTGCTCAAAATACTAGCTGGCACATGCAGTGCTGTAAGTGGAAGCATAGAAGGTAAAAATTGTATACTTAAATGATAATGAATAAAGATACATTGACACTTTGAGACTAGAGAAGGCCCTTGAATGTTTGAATAAAGAATTTGGACTTAATTTTGACAAGCCCAGGGAAACTTTGAAGAATTTTGAGCAAAGAAGTGACATGATCCAAACTGGGTTGGCAAGGAAAGAGGCTAGAACAGATAAGAAGATACTACCATACAGAAAATAGTGCTTTGCATTTAGTGCTCAATAACTTTTTGATATACTGAACTCTGAAATACTTCTTGGTCACATTTTTAAAGCCAGAGAATGTTTCTCCTGGTAGTGAAACAGTACAAATACGAGTTACATTAGACCAAAGCAAAAACCCAAAACCTCTCCCTGCACTACCACTTGGGGTATAAACCAGACAAGACTGGCCTCAGAATTCTGATTAGGAGAAGAATTTGACATACATACCTTTTTAATCATTTTACCAAGTTGAAAATCTGGCCTTCTGCCTATTGAGTAGTCAGCTTTCACTTCAGAGTAGGTATCATTAATTATTGCCAAGAACATGTTCTGGGGAGAAATAGTCAAATGAAGTATTTCAGTAAAAATTTAGTTTAAAAGTTAATGGCTTTGACAAGTGCTGGGATTTGTAAAATTAGATTTAAATTTTAAAAGTAACTTATGTGCTCAGTAAGAGAGAAATGGCTATGCAGACTATATATAAAAAAATGTAGTGGAATGGGAAATATTTAGTGTGTGGATATGGGCAAGTATGTGTATGATAAATGGGAAAAGCAGAATGTAAAATAGTGCATATAAACTGGTTAATATATAGAAATTTATTAATGTTAGATAGCAGAAGAAAACTTACAATAATATGTGTTCACAGGGTTTGTTTGTTTTTTTTTAATTCTGTAGAGTTGTTTAAACGCACAATTTTACTAGGGCTCTTAAAACTACCAGTGTCCAGATTAACACAAACAGAATTGTGGCTAGAGTATTCTTAATCTCAAGCCCACCTCTCCACATTTCACTGTGGCCCAGATCTGTTGCTTTGAGGACTCCTGCCCACCATCAGAGTATAACTGCTGTGCATGACCAAAAACAAAAAATGTTTTCATGGAGGACAGTAGCAGTGCTTTGAGTAGAAAAGCAAGTTCCTTGATTAGGAAGGCCAAATAGGTTTGTCCTGAGCACATGTGAGAGACTCATAAATTCTGGGGACTCATAAAAATGACAAAGGTGTGAGCTTTCAGCCATAAGGGCCAAAAGCTGTTGTGATGAGCAGAATGTGAATGACCTGATTCATACTTACTGGTGTGAAATATCCCAGACTGGAGAGACCTGGGATATTCAAGTTGTATGTGTAAAAGATTTAGCAACTCTTGGCACACAGTAAACACTCAGATGGTAACTATTATGGTCACATCCTCCATTGGACAACTTAAAATCACTTAGACTTGCTGGATTACTATAAATCTACACCATTCTTAATAAATGTTAAGTGTTCTGACAACTAAGCAGTGATACTGTAATTTCTTCTCAATTAGTAATTATATTTTTTATTTTGAAAAATATAAGCAAAAAAGGGACTATATTCGATCTTTCTTACCAGCAGGACAAAGAACACGAAAAAGACGAAAGTGATGAAGTAAATGGGTCCCAAGATACGATTGGCTTGCTGAATGCCAGCAAAATTAAAATCTCCAAGAACAATACGAAATTGCGTGAATCTTTTATGGGGATAAAGAAAAGCATTAGAAAATGTTATATCTCTTCATACATACATGACAACTAATGGTTATTAATGTGTCTAGGAAAAATACCTAACTGCATATGGTATGTGCTTTCTGGCTTTAGTTTTGTTAGCATAAAACCAGATGTAGAAAATTCCCCTGAAGGCAAGACTTAATGGCTGAACAGATAGTTTAGGAAATGATGGGCTTCAATTTATTTAACCGGTGTGAAACCAGTGTTCATCTCCAAGATTTGAACCTTGAGATTCCTGCTTACCAGCTTGTCTCGACAGTTATCTCCTTAGCCATTCTGGTGCCCTTATAAAACTTAGGATACTTAGACCTTTCCAAAAAGTGACTTTCAACTTGGACATAGACCCGAGAACCCTACAACTTCTTTTATCAATGATATGCTTAATTTCTGCTTCTCTACTGAAGTAATAAGGATGCCAACAATTTATCACTTGTCAAGTCTCAAGCAAGTGCTGGTAATGATCCTCAAACATGAGCCTGAGTTTTGTTTTTATTTTCTCCAATAAATATAAAAACTTGGCTTTGATGTGAAATAGCATTGAAAATATAAAGCTTCATTTTATTAATTTTATAGATGGAAAAATTAAGACATTAAGGCTTTGAATGAGCATAGTAGTAGGAGAGGTAGAATTAGGATTTCATAACCTGAAGTCTTATTTTCTCATCATTAGTTTGCAGTGGTATTGCCAGACATACCAGAGATACATTAAAAATTATAAAAATGTAATATATGTATTAATATATATATATTTTAAGGGCAAACCTGGAAAGGAGTTTTTACTACTATGTAGACACTTCACTATCATTTTTCCAGTAGTTATGTACAGATGTGAGAGTTGGACCATAAAGGCCAAACGATTGATGCTTTCCAATTGTGGTAATGGAGAAGACTCTATACAGTCCCTTGGATTGCAAGGAGATCAAACCAGTCAACCCTAAAGGAAATCAACCCTGAATATTCATTGGAAGGACTGAAGCTGAAGCTCCAATACTTTGGCCACCTAATGTGAAGAGCCAACTCATTAGAAAAGACCCTGATGTTGGGAAAGATTGAAGGCAGGAGGAGAAGGGATGACAGGATGAGATATTTGGATGGCATCACTGACTCAGTGGACATGAGTTTGAGCAAACTCCAAGAGACAGTGAAAAACAGGGAAGCCTGGAGTGCTATAGTCCATGGGGTTCCAAAGAGTTGGATACAACTTAATGACTAAACAACAGACACTTTGCATGATTAGTCAGTCAAAGGACTGAAAAAGAATGTTTCTTGTTTTTTAAGCCAAAACATGAAGGGAACCATAGGATCGTGTATAATAAAGGAAGAAAATGTATTCAAAGAAATCAGCTATTTGGAGTTCTAGGACTCAAGAGTTTTCCGGAATTTCATCCTTGGTACCTGTTGCTGCTGCTGCTGCTAAGTCACTTCAGTCATGTCCGACTCTGTGCGACCCCATAGACAGCAGCCCACCAGGCTCCCCCGTCCCTGGGACCTGAGACCTGACTAAATCATATGTAAAATATTTATCTAGTTTCTAATACTGGATTCAAATGCTTTTTACATAAGACAGAGAAATGCTGAATTAGGAGACCAAAGTTTCTCAGCAAATCAAACTTTTTTCTCTCTGGCATAGGAGAATATGAGGTTCTGTTTAAGTGTTTCTAATATGATTTTTTTATGCTTAGGTTGTATTTAAGAAATGATAAGTATTTGATACTTTTTCAAATGTCACTTTTTACACTATCCTGTTCTATAAAGATATTTTCTGACGTGTTTTTTTTCTCTAAATACATTATTATTATTTGAAGTCTTTGAGTCTGTTTCTGTTGTCTGTTGTATCTGTTAGTTCTTACTTAGGATTTTTTCCTCCTTCTATATGAGGTTATCTTTGACCATGAGCAGAAAATTATACTTGAAGGACTTGGGATGAAGATACCATTCTCCAGAGAGATTTGTATATGTGTCTGCAGGTGTATATGGACATTCTAGCTTGGGGCTATCTTAAACCAAGTTCAAGATAATGAGGTTCCCTGGATACCTAGGTGATTAAACCCCTACTTCAAGTCACTGAGGGATTTATTTTTAACTTGAGGCTGTAGCACTTCAGATCCCTGCTTTATGTATGGTGAGGTTATCAGACACTGCTCTTCTCCCCCTACCCTGCTTTCCAACACAGACAGAAAGGCTCTGGGTTTCTCTTCTGTCTCCTCCTTGAGAAGTAACTAGGAACACAATTTCTTAACTGTTTCCTCTGGATCAGCAAAAATGCCTCCACGATGGAGATTTTGGGGAAGATGGAGTCAGGAGCACTAGGAATCTGTCTCACCACCTTGACAACAGTCTCACCGGCACAATCTGATACAACATTTGAAATGAACTCTAGAGTCTGTTGAAGGCTTGCAACAATTAGGAAAGGACTGTACAATTTGGGTGAATTTAAACTTTTAGTTTGACAGCAGCTACCCACCTCCTGGGCTTCCCAGGTGACTCAGTGGTAGAGAATCCATCTCCCAATGCAGGAGACTCTGGTTTGATCCCTGAGTTGGGAAGATAACCCTGGAGGAGGAATTGGCAACCCACTCCAGCATTCTTGCCAGGAAAATTTCATGGACAGAGGAGCCTGATGGACTATAGTCCATGGGGTTGTAAAGAGTTGGACACAACAGTGAGTGAGTGAGCATGTGTGCATGTGCACACACACTTCCAATCCCTCAGCCCATGGAAGGTGGCCCTGCGTGTATTCCTGGAGCAGCTTGTGCATAGCTTGTGGGAGCCAGGGTGGGCAAGAAGGATTGGGTTATCCAAACATCAGGGGTCTGTGTTCTGATTGCTGCTGCTGATGACAGGCAGGTATCCTACTACATTGGTTGCAAGTCCCTCCCTCTCTGGCCGAAGCAATGTCCTTGGGATTGAAAAGCCCAATGCCCTTTCCTCCTTCACTTTTTCTTTCTTCCCTTTGGGAACCAGACATTAAAGACTAGGACACTAGAAAAACAAACAAACAAACAAAAAACCCTGCATATGTGGAGGAAATTAGAAAATCACCATGCATACCCAAGGAATGCACAGACTCAGACCTGAGAAGACTTTTAAGTTTACACCTCAGGCTGATCCTCAGCATGGAAACAGTTAACAATGAAAAACAACAGAAAACATAGCGGGCCCTGAGGAAGGGAAATTAGCTGATTTCTAAAATTATCACATTGTTACACTTAAATTTCTAGTTTTCAATAAAAAATGACAAGGCATACAAAGAAAGGGGAGTATGGCCTATTCAAAGGGAAAGAGTGAATCAACAGAAACTACCCCTGAGCAAGACCACATGGCAGATCTACTAGACTTAACCATTTTAAAGATGCTCAAAGAACTAAAAGAAGTTGGAGAAAGTCAAGAAAACTAAGTATGAACAAAATGGAAATATCAGGAAAAAGAAAACCTCAAACCCAAAACCAATTCTAGAGCTGCAAAGTACAATAACTGAAACGAAAATTCATTAGAGGAATTCAAAGGTAGATTTGCAGGCAGAAAAAAAAAATTAGTGAATTTGAAGATAGAGCCATTGAAATTACTGAGTCTGAGGAACAGAAAGAGAAGAGTTTACAGAAAAAGTGAACAGAGCCTTAGGGACTTATGAGACATCATCAAGTGGACCAACATATGCATAAGCATATGAAAAGATGCTCAGTATTGCTAATCAGTAGAGAAATGCAAATCCAAAATACAATGAGATACCATACCTCACACCCATTAGGATGGCTACTATCAAAACAAAATAATTTTTTATAAGGCTGTGGAAAAATTGAAACATCTATGCACTGTTAGAAGAAATGTAAAATGCAGTGTCCACTATGGACAACAGTATAGCAGGTCTCAGAAAATTCAAAATAGAATTACCATATGATCCAACAATTCTACTTCTGGGTATATACCCAAAAGAATTCGAAGTAGGATCTCAAAGCGATTTGTACAGCATGTTCTCACAGTAGCATTATTCAGGAGATTGAAAATATGGAAGCAGCTCAAGTGTCACTGACAGATTAATGAATAAGCAAAATGTGGTGTGTGTGTAACACACAGTGGAGTATTAATCAGCCTCAAAAAGGAAGGAAATCGTGACATTCTACAACATTGTTGACGATACGCCAAGTGGAATAAGTCAGAAATGGACACATACTGTATGATTCTATGAGAATTACCTAAAGTAATCAAAATTAGAGACAAAAAGTACAATGATGGTTGCAGGGGCTGGAGTAGGGGGAGAAAGGGAGAATTCCTGTTTAATATAAGTTTCAGTTTTGCAAGAAAGATTTCTGGAGATGAATGATGGTGATGATTGAACAATACGAATGTACTTCACTCTTAGAAATGGTTTTAAAAGTGGTTAAGATGGTAAATTTTATAACAGCTTAAAATCTTTTAAAAAACCTTCAGGGACGAATAGCTTTGGATGCTGGAGCTACTTCTCTGGGTTCTTGCTTTCTGATTTTGGACACTCATAAATTGTGAAGAGATTGATTTGAATAGCCTTGCACATCATTACCAAAAGCAGAAGTTCCCTCATTAATCCATTCCAAACTTTTCTTTCTGCTTAATTTGTGTCTTATACTTTCCTTCCTCCCATTATCCAGGGTGAGACACATTTCCAAGGTTCTGTAGATTATTACATTCATATTTAATGTCCAATACTAATTAGTTTTATTACTTACACTTAAGATCTTAGGAAGGGACCAAGAAGTTGTTGAAACTGCAAACATTGACTCAGGGTAAACTAATTAGACTTCTCATTTGTAGTTGGAAGGGACCTCTGGAAGTGATTTAGTTCAGCCCATTCATTTACAGATAAATTAAGATCTAGAAAAATTAAATAGCTAGTGGCAGAGGTAGAAAGTAGAATTCTATCCTCTTGTTTAGTAAAGGATTATTTCAGAAAAAATGTTATTTCAAACAGTGGTACTTCAGTTATTTACATGTGGATAATGAAATTTTTCCGACTAAGTCAGTTCAGTTGCTCAGACATGTCTGACTCTTTGTGATCCCATGGTCTGCACTAAAATTTACCCCCAGTTGAGTAAAAGGACCGTGGAAATATTTGAGGAATTCTAAACTGAAGAAAGTAGTACAGTTTTTCTCAGAGCCATATGTTACCATGGACTACAAATTTCCAAGAGTGATGCAAAATTTCCTAAACTTTCTTAAATATGAAACTATTTCCCCCAGATAATCTTAGTCTAGATTGTACAGAACACATTTTTGAGACCTGATATTTTAGACCAGCAGACCCCAAAGTATTTGGCACCTGGGACCAGTTTCGTGGAAGACAATTCTTCCATGGACTGCAGAAGCAGGGATGGCTTCAAGATGATTTAAGCACATGACATTTATTGTGCACTTTGTTTCTATTATTAATTATATCAGCTCCACCTCAGATCATCAGGCTTTAGATCCAGGAGGTTGAGGAACCCTGTTTTAGACAAGCATATATATATATATATATATATATATATATAAATACAACTTGTTTTACCTACTCAAAAGTGGAAGTCTATTTATTAAAATTACTCACTTTTAAAGAAGAGCCTGAATACTTTTCTAGGCACTCTGCCTAATCAGTTCTTTAAGTTATCTGCTAGTTGCTTTATGTGTATAAAGCTATTTTTAAAATTCAGCTTTGCCAGATGAGCAAAGGACAGTCAAGTCAATATCAATGAAAGGATTCTAAAGATACCCTTGAAAGAAAACACTTAGAATTTGTTTTGCCCAGAGAATAGATACTATGGAGACATGGAGCCAATATTTTTTAACTTAGATAAAATTTTCACTTCTAGAAAAGTAAAAAATTATTTTTCTAACTTGGCCTAGTAACATGTGAAGAGTGGATAGCACCATCAATTTGGATCTTTCAATGCCTAACTGCACTTTGAGTATAACAGATATTTAGCCATCAGTGAAAATATCAAACCATTTTAAAATTTATTAAAGCTTATTTCACTACTTACAGGCATTTTCATGATTTTTTGTTATAAACTGGAAAATATAATTAAGTTTATACTAAGAGCTTACATGGCATTTTGAAAAGTGGAAAAGTCGTCAACCTGTGATCCAAAAACAAGAAATCCTAACTGAGCGTAAGCAAAGAATATTATAAAAAACATGATAGCAAATCCTATTATGTCTTTGATACATCGTGACAAGGTTGATGACAGCTGAGACATTGTCTTATTAAAGCTTATGAATTTGAATATCTGAAAAAGAACAAAATTAATTGGAATAGAATACTAAAGATTATACTTAAAGTTAATTTCAGAAGAAATCTGCTTCAAATTAAAAGAGATGCTTAATGATAGTCAAGGATGTTTGAGGATTTGCCAGCAATCACCACAAAGCCAAATACTTTAAAAATTACTGTATAGTTAAGAGTATCTTTTTTTTCTTTCATAACTTTGTAGTTTGAGTTCTTATTATCTAGTGTAATAAAGTGAAGTCGCTCAGTCATGTCCAACTCTTTGCAACCCCATGGACTGTAGGTGCCAGGCTCTGCCATCCATGGGATTTTCCAGGCAAGAATACTGGAGTGGGTCACCATTTCCTTCTCCAGGGGATCTTCCCAACCCAGGGATTGAACCCGGGTCTCCCACCCTGCAGGCAGACTCTTTACCATCTGAGCCACCAGGGAAGGCCTTTATCTAATGTAATAAAACATATCTAATCTGTTATGGCTGATAAAATAGAAATACCTTTATCCATGCAAAGAAGATGGTTATGGCAATTATATTATTGTAATAAATGTGCCAGTATGCAAGAAAATAGAAGTCTGAATATTTTTCAGTATCTCTTAACAGTTGTCCAAGCATGCGATATATTTGCATATTAGAGTATGAGCTGAAGAAAACAGTCAAAAAACATAACTAAATGGAAAAATAAGAAGAGTTAGTTATTATTTCTACCTCTAAATCTGTAGCCTATAAACAAATACATGAAAAACTTCATCAAAAGGTCAACCAAAAGGAAGGGATAAGACATAGGCTTTTATATAAATTAAAGTAAGCCTCAATTTATAGAAGTTTAAGGTAGCATAATTATAAATGTAACAAAATATTGGCTATATGTATTGGCAAATCTATATGCCTTTTTGTTTCTTTAGGCATAAAACACAAATATATAAAATGATTATATAATTCTGACTAGGCTATAAGAGTTTTTGCTCCATGATACCTAAGAGTTTAATATTTTTCACTCTTAAGAAAAAATTTTTTTACAGTTCCAAAGAAATAACCCCCTTTAGGACTCTGTAACAACTCTTTTTAAAAATTTTATTAATTTTTTATTGAAGGACAATTGCTTTATAGACTTTTGTTGTTTTCTGTCAAACCTCAAAAAGAATCAGCCACCGGTATACATATCAGTTCAGTTCAGTCCCTCAGTCATGTCTGACTCTCTGCAACCCCATGGACTACAGCACGCCAGGCCTCCCTGCCCATCACCAGCTCCGAGAGTTTACTCAAACTAATGTACATCGAGTCAGTGATGCCATCCAACCATCTCATCCTCTGTCGTCCCCTTCTCCTCCCGCCTTCAATCTTTTTTTTTTTCATTTATTTTTATTAGTTGGAGGTTAATTACTTTACAGTATTGTAGTGGTTTTTGCCATACATTGACATGAATCAGCCATGGATTTACATGTGTTCCCCATCCTGATCCCCGTCCCACCTCCCTCTCCATCCCATCCCTCTGGGTCTTCCCAGTGCACCAGCCCTGAGCACTTGTCTCATGTATCCAACCTGGGCTGGTGATCTGTTTCACCCTTGATAGTATACTTGTTTCAATGCTATTCTCTTAGAACATCCCACCCTCGCCTTCTCCCACAGAGTCCAAAAGTCTGTTCTGTACATCTGTGTCTCTTTTTCTGTCTTGCATATAGGGTTATCGTTACCATCTTTCTAAATTCCATATATATGCGTTAGTATACTGTATTGGTCTTTATCTTTCTGGCTTACTTCACTTTGTATAATGGGCTCCAGTTTCATCCATCTCATTAGAATTGATTCAAATGAATTCTTTTTAATGGCTGAGTAATATTCCATGATGTATATGTACCACAGCTTCCTTATCCATTCGTCTGCTGATGGGCATCTAGGTTGCTTCCGCCTTCAATCTTTCCCAGCATCAGGGTCTTTTCCAGTGAGTCATTTCTTTGCTTCAGATGGTCAAAGTATTGGAGCTTCAGCTTCAATATCAGTCCTTCCAATGAATAGTCAGGACTGATTTCCTTTAGGATGGACTGGTTGGATCTCTGCAGTCCAAGGGACTCTCAAGAGTCATCTCCAACACCACAGTTCAAAAGCATCAATTCTTCGGTGATCAGCTTTCTTTACAGTCCAAGTCTCACATCCATCCATGACTACCGGAAAAACTATAGCTCTGACTAGCTGGACTTTTGTTGGCAAAGTAATGTCTGCTTTTTAATATGCTGTCTAGGTTGGTCATAACTTTTCTTCCAAGGAGGAAGCGTCTTAATTTAATGGCTGCAGTCACCATCTGCAGTGATTTTGGATCCTCCCCAAAAATAAAGTCTCTCACTCTTTCCATTGCTTCCCCATTTATTTGCTATGAAGTGATGGGACCAGATGCCATGATCTTAGTTTTCTGAATGTTGAATTTTAAGCCAACTTTTTCACTCTCCTCTTTCTTCAAGAGGCTCTTTAGTTCTTCGTTTTCTGCAATAAGTATGATGTCATCTGCATATCTGAGGTTATTGATATTTCTCCTGGCAATCTTGATTCCAGCTTGTGCTTCATCCAGCCCAGCATTTCTCATGATGTACTATACATATAAGTTAAATAAACACGGTGACAATATGCAGCCTTGATGTACTCCTTTCCCAATTTGGAACTAGTCTTGTTCCATGTCCAGTTCTAACTGTTGCTACTTGACCTGCATATGGATTTCTCAGGAGGCAGGTCAGGTGGTCTGATATTCCCATCTCTTGAAGAATTTCCCACAGTTTGTTGTGATCCACACAGTAAAAGGCTTTGGCATAGTCAATAAAGCAGAAGTAAATGTTTTTCTGGAACTCTTTTGCTTTTTTGATGATCCAACAGATGTTGGCAATTTGATCTCTGGTTCCTCTGCCTTTTTTAAATCCAGGTTGAACATCTGGAAGTTCACAGTTCATGTATTGCTGCAGCCCGGCTTGGAGAATTTTGAGCATTACTTTACTAGTGTGTGAGATGAGTGCAGTTGTGTGGTAGTTTGAGCATTCTTTGGCATTGCCTTTCTTTGAGATTGGAATGAAAACTGACCTTTTCCAGTCCTGTGGCCACTGCTGAGTTTTCCAAATTTGCTGGCATATTGAGTGCAGCACTTTCACAGCATCATCTTTCAGGATTTGAAATAGCTCAACTGGAATTCCATCACCTCCATTAGCTTTGTTCATAGTGATGCTTCCTAAGGCTCACTTGACTTTACCTTCCAGGATGTCTAGCTCTAGGTGAGTGACCAAACCATCGTGATTATCTGAGTCGTGAAAATCTTTTTTGTATAGTTCTTCTGTGTATTCTTACTACCTCTTCTTAATATCTTCTGCTTCTGTTAAGTCCGTACCATTTCTGTCCTTTATTGTGCCCATCTTTGCATGAAACGTTCCCTTCGAGGCTCTAATTTTCTTGAAGAGATCTCTAGTCTTTCCCATTCTATTGTTTTCCTCTATTTCTTTGCAATGATCACTGAGGAAGGCTTTTTTTTTTTTTTTAATCTCTCCTTGCTATTCTTTGGAACTTTGCATTCAAATGGGTATAGATTCCCTTTTCTCTTTTGCCTTTTGCTTCTCTTCTTTTCACAGCTATATGCAAGACCTCCTCAGACAACCATTTTGCTTTTTGCATTTCTTTTTCTTGGGGATGGTCTTGATCCCTGTCTCCTGTATAATGTCACGAACCTCCATCCATAGTTCTTCAGGCACTCTGTCAGATCTAATCTCTTGAATCTATTTCTCAGTTCTGCTGTATACTCATAAGGGATTTGATTTAGGTCATATGTGAATGGTCTAGTGGTTTTCCTTACTTTCTTGAATTTAAGTCTGAATTTGGCAATAAGGAGTTCATGATCTGAGCCACAGTCAGCTCCCAGTCTTGTTTTTGCTGACTGTATTGAGCTTCTCCATCTTTGGCTGCAAAGAATATAATCAATGTGATTTTGATATTGACCATCTTGTGATATCCATGTGCAGAGTCTTCCCTTGTTTTATTGGAAGCGGGTGTTTGCTATGATCAGTGCTTTCTCTTGGCAAAGCTCTATTTGCCTTTCCCCTGCTTCATTCTGTACCCCAAGGCCAAATTTGCCTTTTTCTCCAGGTATCTCTTGACTTCCTACTTTTGCATTCCAGTTCCCTATAAAGGAAAAGGGCATCTTTTTTGGGTGTTAGTTCTAGAAGGTCTTGTAGGTTTTCATAGAACCATTCAACTTCAGCTTCTTCAGCATTACTGGTCCGGGCATAGACTTAGATTACTGTGATATTGAATGGTTTGCCTTGGAAACGAACAGAGATTATGCTGTCATTTTGAGACTGCATCCAAGTACTGCATTTCAGACTCTTTTGTTGACTATGATGGCTACTCCATTTTTTCTAAGGGATTCTTGTCCACAATAGTAGATATAATGGTCATCGGAGTTAAGTTCACCCATTCCAGTACATTTTAGTTAGCTGATTCCTGCAATGTCGATGTTCACTCTTACCATCTCCAATTTACCATCTCGTGACTACTTCCAATTTGCCTTGATTCATGGACCTAACATTCCAGGTTCTTATGCAATATTGCTCTTTACAGCATGGGACTTTACTTCCATCACCAGTCACATCCACAACTGGGTGTTGTTTCTGCTTTGGCTCCATCTCATTCTTTCTGGAGTTAATTCTCCACTGATCTCCAGTAGCATATTGGGCACCTACCGACCTGGGGATTTCATCTTTCAGTGTCCTATCTTTTTGCTTTTTCATACTGTTCATGGGGTTCTCATGGCAAGAATACTGAAGTGGTTTGCCATTCCCTTCTTCAGTGGTATACATATATCCCCACCCTTTTGAAACTCCATCCTATGTCCCTCCCCATCTCACCCCTCTAGGTTAGTACAGAGCCCCTGTTTGAGTTTCCTTAGCTATACAGCAAATTCTCGTTGGTTATCTAATTTACATATGGTAATGTAAGTTTCCATATTACTCTTTCCATATATATCTCACCCTCTCCTCCCCTCTCCCTATTTCTATAAGTCTATTCTCTATGTCTATTTCTCAATTGCTGCAGTGTAAATAAATTCTTCAGTACCATTTCTAGATTCTGTATATATGTGTTAGAATATGATATTTATCTTTCCCTTTCTGACTTACTTCACTCCGTATTAATAGGTTCTCGGTTCATTCGCCTCATTAGAACTGACTCAAGTATATTCCTTTTTATGGCTAAAAGTCCCTTGTGTATATGTACCACAACTTCTCCATCCATTCATCTGTCAATGGACATCTAGGTTGCTTCCATGTTCTAGCTATTGTAAATAGTGCTGCAATGAACAATGGGACACATGTTTATTTTTCAGTTTTGGTTTCCTCAGGGTGTATGCCTAGGAGTGGGATTGCTGGGTCATATAGTGGTTTTATTCCTAGTTTTTTAAGGAATCTCCAAATCGTCTTCCATAGTGGCTGTATCAGTTTACATTCCCACCAACAGTGCAAGAGCGTTCCCTTTTCTCCATACCCTCTCCAGCATTTATTGTTTGTAGACTTTTTGATGATGGCCATTCTGACTGGTGTGAGGTGATATCTCATTGTAGTTTTAATTTGCATTTCTCTAATAATGAGCAATACTGAGCCTCTTTTCATGTGTTTGTTAGCCATCTGCATGTCTTCTTTGGAGAA